TATTGTTGCTAAAAATCAGGAGCAAGCGTCTTGAAACAGGATACCATGAATCTGTATAAGTTTTAAGTAGTTTCATTCTACGTTTAATATTATTATTGGGTCGTTTACGTTAAAGTTATATTTGGCCATTTTATAGCCTCCCCTCAAAAAGCCCACAATTACTCAATATGTAAAAGAAGAATATCCTACAATTGTCCTTCCCACATTGTGGGCACTTGGCGATACTCATACTTGAATAATCGAATCAAAATTAAACAATTTTTGTGGTGACTCAAACCCCGCCGATGCCCCATCTAAAGTTACACTAATGATTAATGAGTTTTTTAAGAGATAATAAGCTTAATAATAAGCAATTAATAAGCTTAATAAGATATAATAGTGAAACACTTGAACTACAAAATAACTTGTGACATTTGTGATAGGTATAATATGTGCTTATGGTAACTGAATTCATTCTTTAATCATTATGATTAAGAACTCAAGAAGATTATAATTCATTTACTTCAAATATGAAATGTCTATCATTTTCTGCACCAGTAAATTGTATCACTTACCGCCCCCTACTCAATAAAGAAGACTGACAAGACTTAGTTGTTAGCTACAAAGTGTGGGTTTTGAAAAATATGGCAAATTCGTAATTTCGTCAGGCATAATTGAGTACAGTAAAAATATTAAAACATGAGGAATATAATCTGAATACCTGAATTATAATACGTAAAACATCATGTCATTACAACACATCACAACAACATTATTTAATTTAGCTATAAACAAAATTTTGCCAAATTTTGCCAAATTTTGAAAAATTTCAATTTGAAATGGTGAAAAATGGTGAAAAATGGTGAAAAATGGTGAACATTTTTTATGGTGAATTGGCAAAATAAAAGGGAAATTCACCATTTTTCACCATTTTTCACCATCGGCCCCCCCCCCCCCCACTGTATGCTCATATTTTAACTAAAGTTCACTTTTGGTATTCATAAAACAGGTAATCCGCGAATCTTAGCCGGTTGTGAGTATTGGCTCATACGTCGTGGCATGTAATTTTTGTTGGGTACCAGCCCGAAGTACCAGCCAATGTTAACTCAAAAATATATATGATAAGTATTATCTATTCAAAGTAAAAAACTCACACAAGATTAGATATTGTTGAAACTATCAAAAAAAACTATTAAAATGGAGCTTATTTAACAAGCATAGCTGAGCACAGTTATGATTGCCTTTAGGATTGTAAAGTTGAAATTATCATATTAATGCACTTTCTGAGTTGTAAGAGTGGAAACAGGCCCATAGCTACAGCTAGCTAGCTATTCCAAAATTTTCTAATTACGACTGTTATCAGTCGCATAGCATCATGCCGTTGTTGCAGGTGAATTGTTGAGAGTGTAACTGAGATGGTATGCAGTGAAATTGCTTCAGTGATGCTTGCGGGCGAGCTTATGGTATTAAGACGAGATTGTTATCAGCATTACGGTTGATGTTGCGCTTTGATTTCCTTAGTCCCGTTATATTGTATAACATAATGTTAGGCCATTCATCTGCAATGCCCTCATTTTGCTGATCAAAAGCATTTTTTTATGCACCTTTTGTAGATGCACGATTCGCTTGACCTAACTTGACGGATGGCCTAACGCCTAAAACCATGAATAAGGCCATGAAACCAAATAGGGAAAGCGACCGTTTTGAGGTCTGATGACCTAATTTTACTTTAGATCAGATTTTAGGCCATAAGTCCACTTTAGGTCGGAGTGAGAAGACGGATGGCCTGCAGACTGCAGAGAGATGTGACCCGTTACTGTGTACGGCCATGTATTAACATGCGCTGACAGAGCATGCTATACGAGCCAAATGACGTGCTTCGACGAGTAACTATCCTCAAGGGCCCCCGATTCATTCTCAACAGAAAGAAGAACGACTCCGTCTACTGGAAGTTTGCCTCTTCAGAACTGGATGCCGTGCCAGGAAGATCACAACTGTTTACAAGGCGTCTTATAGTGGACTGGTGGCCTAAGATCTGTTCTAAATTAGGCCACCCGTCCGTTTTTTTCAGTATATCTAGGTAGGCCATTAGTCCAGTGAGGCAAAGCATCCAGTTAGGTTACCAAACCGGGTATCAAACTGGATTCATCATTTTGGATTAGTAATGACTCAAAATATTGGATTAGCTGGTGGCTCACGTTAATGACTTTGAAACTGATTGTTTTTCTGAGTACTGTAGTCTGCCAGTACCTCGACCCGGATAATGCTAATGGTACACGCGGCGTCATCTTAGGTCCACTAACGAACACTAATAGGACGAAATAAAGTGGAGGAGACGAAAGAGCATCTCTTCCCATAAGAGTATAAAATATAGGTAAATCTTCTACCTTATCACTTTATTTCGTCGCATTAGCATTTGTACATTTACCTACTAGTACTATACCTAAGATGAAGCCTTGTGGATAATTATACACGTTCAAGAGGTACTGGAAAACTAGAACACCGGTGCTATCATAGCGACATAAAGCGACATACTTACAATTTCGCTCACAAAGGGACTCGCGAAATCTGAAATCTTTTTAAATAGAGAATAATTTGTGGGGCAAGAAATCTTGCAGGCTGGGTAGGGGGGGGGAGTACATTTCGCCACTGCACGTGACACGTGAAAATCGCACTTTTAGTCTCAAAATCCAATCTCATCGCACTTTTTTTAGAATCTTGATAGGGGGTGCTATGATAAACTGGAAATATATGATAGAAAGTATGGAATATTGATGATTGACGATGTTAATTCTTCCCAGCTCGTAGCGGCCCAGTAGTATATATATATGGGTAAACTAAACTTGCATAAGCCAGGGGAACGGTCCTTAGCAGGGTAACCAGGATGGCCCGGCACCCAAAAAACCTGATCAACTAGCACAGATAAAAGCAGCCCAGGCCCCAGTAGTGCTACAATCTCGGGAAGTGGTAGCGAGATGCATTATATGATGCGCCTCACTACCCGGTAGAGCATATCGCTGCCCAGTAATGCATCAAGCTACATGAACCGGAAAAATAAGGGCAGTATCCAGATAGCCCGACACGTGTTCGCGAACAGTTGTACACGAACACGTGTTCGCGAACATGTGTACACGAACAGGTGTTCGCGAACAGGTGTCGGGTTATATGGATACTGCAAAAATTAGGGCCGTTAAGGTAATCATTTATTTACCAGTTTTAGATAAGCCATAAGATTTGCGTTTAAAAGTTTCCTTAAGAATAAGGATGATTCAAAAATTTAACGTCTCGGATTGATATTGATATCACGTATTAGCTGTTTTACTAATTTGTAGTACAGTTACGGAAGCTCATCGCAAGCAATGACCGAAATTACATGATTTTAAATCATTTTAATTTTTAAGCATTCCATTTATGGGTCCATTACCATCAAATTTTATTGCATCATCAGTTCGTATTTCAATTTATTACTTTATCGCTGTAATCTGTAAAATTTTAAAAGTATTTAATAAAATACTTTTATCACAAGAAGATTATGGCAACGAAAATCAACATTTCGACGTCAACTCCTAATTTTGATTTTACACCAAACGTGGATCATCTCCTCTTGGAAAAAGAATACAGAATATACGACACCCTTTTGGCAGTTACTCTGACTCTGTGCACTGTAGTCGGTCTCCCTGGTAACTTGGTCTCCCTCATCTATTTCTACTCCGCAAGCAGACGGGACTTCTCCGGTCTCATCTATACAATAGTGTGCAGTATTGACATCTGCACCTGTGTTGTTCACATCCCCGTAATGATAGCACTTTACAACTCCAGAAAACCTGGGATTTTCAGTGAGAAAACTTTCTGTGTGGCTTGGATCGTGGTATTTAATTATGTCCAGAAGATGTCAATGTTTTTGGTAATGCTGCTCAGTGTTGCCCGCACGGTTACCATGATCTTCTTACGCTACAAGATCAGGAAGAAGTTCCTCCTTGTCGCTTTCCTTACATACACTGCATTTTTGATGGTTTGGAATCTTTTCATTTATGCTTTTGGAGGCTCAAATAAATGGTACGGCTATTATGAATTTGATGTTTATTGCTATTTTGCTCTGTATTCGAAGCCATTCTCGTATATATGTCAACTTATAGAGGCTATCTGCGTTAGTCTCCCACCGATCGTAACCAGTATTAGCTTCACAGTATTCGCTTACAAATTGTTACGGAAAGATCACGTGTCCAGAATGAACAGACGAAAACACCAAGCTGCCGTTACCATGGCAATGTTCACCGCTCTGTTCCTAACATGTAACCTGCCCTGCCTTCTGAACTATTTCTTGTGGTTCCTCAATAGTTTGATCTACAACAACGCTTACCCAGGCCCGATCTACTCGTCTCCTTTCATGGCATATTACAGCTGGTTAATCTCGAATATTGTATGTACAGTTCTTAATGCTTCGCTCAATCCTGTTCTTTACTTTTACAGAATGGAGCACGTTAGATTCTGGGTTTCATCAAGAGGATCTGAACTCTGAAGGGACTGGAAATAGACCTCAACAAGTCAACACGTGACCTCCCTTAGCACATGTCAGTAACTTCTATCCAGCACGGTCGTCGGACGTCTTATAGTCTTATGAAAAGTTTTTGTTGCGATGTGATGCCTTGAGAGTTTAGAGTATGTTGTGATCATTGATTATATTTACTGAATTTCAGAGAAAAGTTCAGGTTTGCTCTAGACTCAGAAATATTTACAAATTTAACTATTATTATGAATTTATCGAAATTAATGTTTTTAATGAACTTTTTCAATTAAAACTTATTTCAAATTTCCCTGTGTTATATACAAACTTACCTTGTAACATAACATTACATCGTCAAGATGATTAGAAATTTTCAACACACATCATTGTTAATGCGACTCATAAATCTGTCGTTTTCTAACAAATGTGTTTCATTCCATTCAAACCCCCCTGCCCCCCCCCCCCCCCCGGCCCCCCTTCCTTCCAGAAATAATGTTACTATTTAGAAATTACTTACCCTGACTGAGTCAGCAGGAAACCAACCAGTTCTCTCCTTGTCCGTTCTCCCTCGCCACCATTTACCATTCTGCTGTAGCACCTGGTAGAGGAAGGAGTAAATAAAGTTATCAAATAAAAGTATAATAAAAGTAAAGTAATATAGTAAAAGAGCTTTAAATAAACACGCAATATACATTTTACAGATTGAACTTAAATATAATGTTTAATGAAATATCCGTTGTGCACTGTGCAGTGTGTAGTGTGTGCTTATATTATTGTCCTACCTCGACAAGGTCGCCCGCTTTAAACTCCAGATGTGTATTGTGTGCTTATATTATTGTCCTACCTCGACAAGGTCGCCCGCTTTAAACTCCAGATGTGTAGTGTGTGCTTATATTATTGTCCTACCTCGACAAGGTCGCCCGCTTTAAACTCCAGATGTGTATTGTGTGCTTATATTATTGTCCTACCTCGACAAGGTCGCCCGCTTTAAACTCCAGATGTGTAGTGTGTGCTTATATTATTGTCCTACCTCGACAAGGTCGCCCGCTTTAAACTCCAGATGTGTATTGTGTGCTTATATTATTGTCCTACCTCGACAAGGTCGCCCGCTTTAAACTCCAGATGTGCAGTGTGTAGTGTGTGCTTATATTATTGTCCTACCTCGACAAGGTCGCCCGCTTTAAACTCCAGATGGTCTTTAGAAAGAGGGAGATGATCCCAGAGAGCCTCCCCTATTATCAGAGAGTCACTTTCTGGAGTAACCGCAGCTGCTTCCTCCTGAGCAAACAATTTTATAAAATTTAAAGCAGCGAATATCATGTTCAGGAAAGAGCAAATATCATCATTTTGTATCATCTTTTTCGCGATAATATAACTTCCTCACTCAATAAAATATATAACCACAGCAGCACTACCATATATGGTGATGTAACCAAAGCAACAGTACCAACTACCTTATATATGGTAATGTAACTTAATAACAATAACAATACTCACCTCAATATCAGAAACATGCGATTCGTCTGATGAGTCGCCTCCTGACTCCTTGTCGTCTGTTTGTCCTGAAAATTAATATTTTAATAACATTAAATCAACAAGTTAATAATGAAAAATAGTATTTTAATAAGATTAAATCAACATAATAATAACAAAGATTATGATGAACCACAAGATGGTAATGTTATTTTAATAACACACATTACGACGGTATGAGCTGTAACATGGTCTTGTAAATTAGGAAACAAATGCGGACATTCCTGATTTAATTATAGCAAAAAGAATTTGAAGAATGTTTTATTGTTTAAAATTGAATGACTTGAGTATTTTTAAACCAAAAAATGTATCAAATTTCTAACGATGATAAATCAGATTCTTCCAGCAAAACCCTCAGAAATTAGTCTCAAACACAATAAATATTTCCAGGTTTGAGAATAAATCCCTTTAGCATGAACAATAAATATTTCGTATGATTATTACCGAATACTATATTCCTAACTTATTGTCCTAAGAGTAACTGGTGAGCAGTTTCAATTAACCTTGGTGTTTCCTGTATCTCTTTAATCTTAAGCAGTCTAGCCACATTGCGTGACTTTGTAATGGCATAGTCAGTGTTGTAGTGTACCCACTGAGTAGTGAGTAGGAGTAGGAGTAGGAGTACCGAGTAGGAGTAGGAGTAGGGACCTAGTTCTCAGTGCTCAGAGAGGAGACCCAGGCCCTCTACTAGCAGGAGCCTTGGCCCTCTTTAAGTAGAGTTAACTGTGTCTCAGTAATCTGAGTATTCTCAGTAATCTAAGTATTCTCAGTAATCTGAGTGGTATTTAGTAGAAGAAGAGTTGTCTGAAATTAGATCGTCTATATGAAGGAGTGAGTCTGTGGGGGAGTCTGGTCTGTGGTCTGGTCTGTGGTCTGGTCTGTGGTCTGGTCTGTGTGGTGGTCTACCTAACAGATTTTAACTTCAGTCAGTGGCTCAGAGGTCAACGACAACTTACAACTATGCAAACACTGGTAAACGAATCCATGTGCAGTTGTAATCAATCTTCTTGATGGAAAGCAAAGAAATGAGTGAAAATAGTGTAAATTTAGTAAAAGTAATGAAAGCAAAGTAATAATTAAAGTAATAAAATAAATAAGACCTTACCTTTAACAAACCCAAAATGAACCAACAAAGAAAGGCAAGTTTCAAAGTGATAAAAGCATCGCAAAAATCCAAATTGCATTAATTTCGTAATAATATGTAGTAATAAAGCAAGCTATGTGAATAGTGAGTACCAAGAATTTGATTTCTGTCTTGGCCCAATTATAATTTAGAATACATTGGTGTTATAGTGTGGTAACACCACGTGACGTCACGATATCAACACGTGACGTCATGCCACGTGACGTCACCATACCACGGCCCTATTATAATTCAGTGTAGTTTATCTGTTACTTTTAGCGGTCTATGTGTTAGCTGGTAATGTTAATTTGGAAAATGGTAAAAACTATGCCAATTATGCAAATATTGTTTCAAGCTACAGTGCTTTTAAGAATTTTTTATATTTTCTTAAAGCATACTCAAATCAGACACTACAAATGCTCCAGGAACCAGTCCCCTTTTATTAAAAAAATACAATGTTTTCATATCACCAAGTTAATGAGCAAGACTATGCAGCAGTGTTTAAATTTATCAGTTAAAATAAATTTAAAATAATATCAAGTTATAAAGTTATAATCCAACTAACCAGAAGAAGAAGCGTCGCTGACGAAGCTAGAAGATCTGCGACTCATTGCACTGGTTGATGGGTTTATCCGGGGGTTGTTGTGGTCTGTTATGCAGGGAGATCGGGGCCTGTGGCATGACACTGAAATATATATTAAGTTAATTTAAGTTAAATATATATAAGTTAAATTAAATTTACATTAAGTTAAGAAAATAAAAAGAAGAGATTCAGGGCTGTGGCGTGACGTTCATGATGACCCAAAATAAATGTAATGAAATTATCACCCAGCCATTTTTAGACGTAAATATTTTACGATAAGAAAGATAAACGGGCCTGTGACGGGACACAAAATAAGTGAAATGACACATTCAACACGTGTAAAAATAAAAAAGTAACTTGCGCCATAGAACTAACCAGGAAGTGAGGTAGGAGGAGGAGGAGGAGGGATAAAAGCAGCTCGTTTTAACTTGTTGAGTTCCTCAGACGAGAGCTGACACTGAGGCTTCCCCGCTGAAAGACGACGCAGTGGAGCTGCAAAGTGGAGCGTTAATGAAAACTTTAGAGGTTCATTATTGAAAAAACTTATTTAATGAATAAATTGTTAATTGCAGCCTAAAACCGTTGCGGAATGTAAAATGAAAGATTACTGACTAAAGACATCAAATAAAATGTCCAAAATCCAAATATTATAAAATTGAAGTTCTTACATTTTGTTGGCGAGGCTCTACGTCCTCCATTCACCATAGCAACTGAACGACCCAAACTCCTCGTCTTTAAAACCTCTTCAGGTGACGAAACAGCCATGTTTTCTGAAGATGATGACGTCACAATATTCTCCGATGACGTCACTACGTTCTCACGTGACGAGACTGGAGACTGCCACATGTTCTCTGTTTGAACGGTTGGAGTCTCCGGTGTAACAGCTCCACTGTCTTCTAACGTTTCGTACTGTGTCTCGTACTCTGTAATTAATTAATTAATTAATTAATCAATCGATTATGAATTAATCTTAAATTTAGCAGATGTTAAAGACATCTGCTAAAACTTGCATATTTCGGATGCTCGTCATTTCAGTGTGCCCTTTTGAGATGGAAATATCCTTTAAGTTTAATCAGATACTATTTCCCTTATCAAGTGTGTAGGATTTCAGGTATAGTATATTATTAATCATCATCACATTTTGATGTTATCAAATTTTACATGATCACATTTAGATTATCATAATATATTACATATCTTAAATAAACACTGTCAGGTACTTTACAAACATTGTCAGGTACTTTACAAACAATGTCAGGTACTTTACAAACAATGTCAGGTACTTTACAACACTGTCAGGTACTTTACAACACTGTCAGGTACTTTACAACACTGTCAGGTACTTTACAACACTGTCAGGTACTTTACAACACTGTCAGGTACTTTACAACACTGTCAGGTACTTTACAACACTGTCAGGTACTTTACAAACACTGTCAGGTACTTTACAAACAATGTCAGGTACTTTACAACACTGTCAGGTACTTTACAACACTGTCAGGTACTTTACAACACTGTCAGGTACTTTACAACACTGTCAGGTACTTTACAACACTGTCAGGTACTTTACAACACTGTCAGGTACATTACAACATTGTCAGGTACTTTACAAACACTGTCAGGTACTTTACAAACACTGTCAGGTACTTTACAACACTGTCAGGTACATTACAAACAATGTCAGGTACTTTACAAACACTGTCAGGTACTTTACAAACACTGTCAGGTACTTTACAACACTGTCAGGTACTTTACAACACTGTCAGGTACTTTACAACACTGTCAGGTACTTTACAACACTGTCAGGTACTTTACAAACACTGTCAGGTACTTTACAAACAATGTAAGGTACTTTACAACACTGTCAGGTACTTTACAAACAATGTCAGGTACTTTAAAAACACTGTCAGGTACTTTACAACACTGTCAGGTACTTTACAAACACTGTCAGGTACTTTACAAACATTGTCAGGTATTTTACAACACTGTCAGGTACTTTACAACACTGTCAGGTACTTTACAACACTGTCAGGTACTTTACAACACTGTCAGGTACTTTACAACACTGTCAGGTACTTTACAAACACTGTCAGGTACTTTACAAACAATGTAAGGTACTTTACAACACTGTCAGGTACTTTACAAACAATGTCAGGTACTTTAAAAACACTGTCAGGTACTTTACAAACACTGTCAGGTACTTTACAAACACTGTCAGGTACTTTACAAACATTGTCACTTGTCAGGTATTTTACAACACTGTCAGGTACTTTACAACACTGTCAGGTACTTTACAACACTGTCAGGTACTTTACAAACACTGTCAGGTACTTTACAAACACTGTCAGGTACATTACAACACTGTTAGGTATATTACAACACTGTCAGGTACTTTACAAACACTGTCAGGTACATTACAACACTGTCAGGTATATTACAACACTGTCAGGTACTTTACAAAAACTGTCAGGTACTTTACAAACACTGTCAGGTACTTTACAACACTGTCAGGTACTTTACAAACAATGTCAGGTACTTTACAAACAATGTCAGGTACTTTACAACACTGTCAGGTACTTTACAACACTGTCAGGTACTTTACAACACTGTCAGGTACTTTACAACACTGTCAGGTACTTTACAAACACTGTCAGGTACTTTACAAACACTGTCAGGTACTTTACAAACAATGTAAGGTACTTTACAACACTGTCAGGTACTTTACAAACAATGTCAGGTACTTTAAAAACACTGTCAGGTACTTTACAAACACTGTCAGGTACTTTACAAACACTGTCAGGTACTTTACAAACATTGTCACTTGTCAGGTATTTTACAACACTGTCAGGTACTTTACAACACTGTCAGGTACTTTACAACACTGTCAGGTACTTTACAACACTGTCAGGTACTTTACAAACACTGTCAGGTACTTTACAAACACTGTCAGGTACATTACAACACTGTTAGGTATATTACAACACTGTCAGGTACTTTACAAACACTGTCAGGTACATTACAACACTGTCAGGTATATTACAACACTGTCAGGTACTTTACAAAAACTGTCAGGTACTTTACAAACACTGTCAGGTACTTTACAACACTGTCAGGTACTTTACAAACACTGTCAGGTACTTTACAAACACTGTCAGGTACATTACAAACACTGTCAGGTACTTTACAAACACTGTCAGGTACTTTACAAACACTGTCAGGTACTTTACAACACTGTCAGGTACTTTACAAACACTGTCAGGTACATTACAAACACTGTCAGGTACTTTACAAACACTGTCAGGTACTTTACAAACACTGTCAGGTACTTTACAAACACTGTCAGGTACATTACAACCAACCTGTGTTGTACTGAGACATTGTGGTGTTGTGTGTCCTGTAGTTTGGTGTGGACACTTCAATATCTTCATACAATTCGTCCTCTGTTAGATCGGTACTGGTTCTGATAGGAGCTGAAACAGGAAATGTTATTGATTAATTATTATTAATTATTTATTAATTAATTAGATTGTTTCTAGCTTTTATTGTAAATCTTTTTTAGGAATTTTAGCTTTAAGCGGGCAGTTTTTCACAACCAGACCATTCACCTACCGATATAATTATGCAAATCGTGGTTCAGGAATTCAAGTTGTAAAGTCTTATTAAAATCATGTGAAAATCTCCATGATTAAATACTGAGCATCTTTTTACACATTCTCGAGATATTTACCTGGGATCGGTTTTAAACTTTGATCCATGTGTTCGGAGATAAACTCGTAGAGGTGTGACGAATCCTGAAAAAGAGGTATTTGTGGAATTTGGAGAATTCTCGGTTACCATGACAACAAACATAGCGTACAAAATGCAAAGAATTGTGTTGTGGTATAAAGCTTAATTAAACAGCAACATCATTGTCACTTTTATATAATCCTTAATATGCTTATGATTTCTAATAAATACAAAATTCTCCACGAATTGATTAATATGACATTAATTTTTTTTTAATTTAATCTAGACACTTATTTTACTTCGGAGTATTCCAACAGCCATATTGTTACACAAGTGCAACCAGCCAATTACAGGAAGCCGAAGGATTTGTTTTTAGCCAGTGACGGTTAAGGTAGTGTGTACCATACTTTCTTCGCCCGAGACTTTGCTGCAATGTGCAGCTCCTCATTTAACCCTCACACCCGATTTCTCGAGTATTCGGCTGAGTACACCGGGGGGCTGCATAGACCACTCACGATCCTTAGCTGAATGTCAACGACACTCACCCCACGACCAGGCAGGCAGTGGGATTTGAATCCGCAACCTCACGATTGCAAAGCTGGCTAACCAACTGCGCTACCTGGCCTTTAAAAGGAGCGAGTAGCCTTAGATTATCAAAACTAAATACCGTCCGAGGTAAATAACTACAATTCCTAGACAACACTTCCGATCAATATTCAAAAACAAGTTTAATGATCAATGGACCTAAAACAACGATTATTTAACTTAATAAACCAGATCGATTAAAGCAATTAAACAATTAACGTAATTAACCTGGTCGATGAGGTTGCTGTCCTCTCCGATAAGCTCGTAACAGTGTTCAGGTGAACCGTCCTCCTCTTTACCACATTCTGAGGTTAGGAAAATAAGTGCAAACAGCACCACGTGACACAAACTAACCAATCAGAGCACATTATTCAGACCACGTGACAAAAACTAACCAATCAGACCACAGTATTTAAACCAATCTCGTACAAACAAAATTATTAGAGATTATTACAAACTACTGCAAGTAGAGACAGTATTTTGTGTCGATTTATATTCATGTTGGATCTTATAATAGTGCCCTCGATTTTGAGAAATTTGATTGATCGAAAACTTGAGGCTCCTTATTAATCAGCATTGCTCGAAGTATATTTGGGTGGTCAGAAATAGAACATGCAATATTTCAGTGTGCTATGATACTAAAATAGTATGACTGATATCAGCTTATACTAGAAATTTAATTTCTACCATTGGACCAATCTAACGGAATTTCACCGGGGAAAACACAGGACTCCGATGCTCTATCCTACAGTGGTTCAGAAATTCGAAAAGAAGATACTAGAAAAAATGCCGTTACCCAAAGGAGAAGACAAAACACAAAAGAGTGACAAATTAAATGAGAAGCTGAAAGGTGAGTACTAAGTAACCATGGTTACTCCTGAAACTTTGTTACTCCTGAAACTTAACCACTTCGATCTGCACACGTGCACAAAATCTTGCGCACGTGCGCGAGATTGTGTTAAGTGCTAAAATACATGGATCTTATATTAGCACTTTCAAAGATTACAGTTGTAGCGAAAATGGCATATGAATCATATGCCATTTTCGCTACAATTATATCCCACTAAGCATTATATGACATGATCACATGATGGAATATAACTGGGAGTATAGAAATGTTTCGTAAGTTCAATTGTTGAATGAAAAGGTCTCAAGTTCTAGCAGCATCTTAAAATTAATGGTCAACTTAAAACTCAAAATATAAATTACACAGCGCGGCGACAGTAAAAAGCACAGCTAATAACAGTCTACATCACTCGCCACAAAAACAAAGAAACATATGACAAAGCATGCCTGTTGCATGTTCCTCAGAAAATCCGAGGAATTTGGAATTTGAGCTTATCATTATCTCGGGTATCAAGTTTCAACGAAATGCACTCTAGTTAGCCGTACCACTTTGAGGAAGGACCGACGGAGTTTAAATTCTCAACACAATAAAGTTCACTAATCGACTGTGAGACTTGTGTTCAGATTATATCTGAGACAGTACTCTCCGTCCATTACAGACTTATATTAATATTCTATTTTTCCTTCAGTGATTACACTGTGGTTGTGGCAGCGCTGCAACCGACCAGAATTGTAATTTTGATGCAGCAGTTGGTTTTTGGGCTGCAAACCACCCTTTATTTCTAAGAATAAGATACCGAGGTTTAGTTAAATAACGTAATGATTATTTATAATGATTCTTAAGTTTAATAATTTAAATTACCTGTATTTCTAGAGGTTTCTGTATGCATTGGAACTTCATACCCTTCTTCGTCCAACTGAGATTATCGTATTAAATTATTGTAATTTTAAATCGGAATACTAATAAAGCAAAGTTTTATTTATATTAAACCTATATTTAATGTTTCATTCGTTCTTTGATATCACGACACTTAACTGTTAAAAATTCGAGAATTTGTTTAATATTTGGAATTGCAGAAATTCATAATTACGATAATTGTATACAACTCGATTTTGCTGATTTACAATTCATTAATTTAATACTTACAAATTCGTCGCAGCTAACACTTGACGAGAGGTCGTTGCTAGACAGCACATTATTATCAGATAAACTAGTAAACTGTGGGAGATAACAGGTAATAACAGGGGTAATAACAGGGGTAATAACAGGGGTAATAACAGGTAATAACAGGGGTAATAACAGGTAATAACAGGGGTAATAACAGGTAATAACAGGGGTAATAACAGGGGTAATAACAGGTAATAACAGGTAATAACAGGTAATAACAGGTAATAACAGGGGTAATAACAGGTAATAACAGGGGTAATAACAGGTAATAACAGGGGTAATAACAGGTAATAACAGGGGTAATAACAGGTAATAACAGGGGTAATAACAGGGGTAATAACAGGGGTAATAACAGGGGTAATAACAGGGGTAATAACAGGTAATAACAGGTAATAACAGGGGTAATAAAAGGTAATAACAGATAATGAGCTGACAATAAACGTAGAAAGTTACTAGATTGGTAAAAACTGACAAACATTTTAAAAAAATAACAAAATGACTTAATAAAAGCACTAAAAGTTCCAATAAAATACACTAAGATGTGCGATAGAAACACTAAAAAAGCACTTATAAAAGCAACAAAGAAAAGCACTAAATATAACTCACAGGTGAGGTTGAGGAGTGTCTAGGTAGGTTACAAGGCGGGAGGTGGCTAAGAAGGGTGGGCTGAGAGGTGGTGGTTTTTAGTTCACGTGACAGATCATGTGATAATCTCACCTGTGATGGTTAGGATTTTTTAAGTTGCTGTGAATACCGCGATTACAATAAATCTGCAATTTACTGCGACTTCTGAATACAGTGAATATCATTGACTTTTTAAATAGATCTAGTAACATTAACACAAGATTACAATAAACCTTCAATTTGTAATCTTTTTTTTTGCTCTTATGAGTGGGTCAATCATTTATTTTGAATTGTAGTTGACAAAGGCATGTAGCCGAAACGTCGACAAAGAATTATGTTTTAACACACTGAGTGGAGACTCTCACTTCGTCAACTACAATTCAAAATAAACCTTCAATTTACTGGGACTTCTGGATACTCTGAATACAGTGAATATCATTGACTTTTTAAATAGATCTAGTAACATTAACACAAGTTTCCACATAAAGCCAGTAAAATAGTATGATGTATTACCTGTGATGAGGATAGTGGGATATGTGGATGCATTTCGTTGGTACCGTGCCAAGACATGATGTACTTTCGCGTTTCTAGGTTCTCGTAACCTTGGTTACGTATGGGGAGCGTGTCGTAGTGCGCTGCTATTGGACTGCAATGGTTTCTTTTTAGTCTGGATGTTTTTGGTCGTACTTTTTGATCTGTTTATCAAGAGAGGTAGGATGAAGCCTTTCAACACTTTTTTATTTTGTGTAAAGAGTTAAAGAAAGTTTCATCGAAATATTCATCCCTGCCCTTGAATTTTACTACATTTCTTTTTCAAAACATGTTCTACTTAAACTCCTAAAGTAAGATGTACGTTTAGGGACATTGCTCGAATATAAAGTTAATACTGGGCCACCTTGTAATCACCTACAAACGGAGCATTAAAGGACGTCAACTGATATTCACGAAGTGAAAAGGGTGTAAGCTTCAAATTCAAACAAAAAACTCAGCAAAACTGAAGATTTGTTAGTTGTTTAGAATCATTAGTCAAGCATAACGCTGGCTAGGACCAGCATAATCCATCGAAACAAAGTAGAAATGAGCATTGCATCATGTCGTGAAACAACTTTTTAATGTTTTAACAATTCTGATGAAATCGAGGATGTAATGAGATGATGAGAAATCTTATCTGGGATAATGTGCTCTGATTGGCTGGTTAGGTGAGACACGTGACAGCAGAGCGACCAATGAGATTGCAGCAACGTTTTTGAGTAGCTCGTAAGCTCGTTACATGCTCACGTATTGTAATCTATACGTTAATAGGAACGAGGTTCGTTTGTGCCGTTTAGCCATAAGTAGTCAGATTTATGTGCCCTACAAATGTAGACAGATAGTGGTTAGTTAGTGGTACTACTAACGTAAGTCGTAAAGGTTGATAAAGCATCTCCATTACCATATTACCATGGTGCAATCTCTGCTCTCTGAGATAGAAAAAGCTTAATTAAACACCAAAACCAGCTTACCTGGTTCTGCTAGTGATGGATCCTCTGTGACAAGACTTAGTAGAACTACTCCTGGAGCCACCAGAAGAGAAGATGGAGTTGTGAGACATCGCTGAGTGGAAGGATTCGTGTTCCCGCGGCAACGAGGACGAACCTGATTGGTGGGAAAACGTCACATGACTTAAATCGAGGATTTTTTAGTAGTTGAAAACTTGTGATTTGTAATATTTGTAAAATTGAAATTGACTTTTCTTGTTTCGAATAATGCAAATGGCGTAGATAATTGACTAAAATGTAACATACTTTGACCTTGAAAGAGATTTGAACTGAACTAACCAGTACTGATGCTCCGAGAAGAACGCCGCGCAGCAAGGTTGTAATAATAATGATCCTGTAGCTCCGGCAGCTGATTATCGTACAGGTGAAGAAAAGAAGTACGGAGCGAACTAGAAGAGCTGGATGGGATCAGATTCTGAGGGATGGTGTCTCCGGAAGGAAGGTTGTCTCCAGAAGGAAGGTTGTCTCCAGAAGGAACACTGTCTCCGGGAGTAAGGTTGTCTCCGAGAGGAAGGTTCACCTGGTCGAATGGTCCTGTGGAGGATGGTGGGGAGGTCAGGATGTGAGATAGTGGGTCTAACGTAACCGGATACTCTCCGTAATCGTCTCCGTACAAATCATCTAGTTCTACCTGTAGGGGAGGAAATATTGTAATAAACATGTGATAAATGTTGGATTATTTTTTTTGGCGCTGGAAAGCCATTTTATCAGCAGAATAGCTTCTGTGTATACCTTTTAAAAAATAAAGGAAGTCAAGAATTGAATAAGTGACTGATGACGTCACACACACGTGACGTCATCACAGCGCCTCCGGCCTCCCCCTAACTCACCTCCTCAACCTGCAGGTCGGACACGTCCACCTCTTCCAACTCATGGTTCTCCCCACTCTCCTCCTCACTCTCGTTAGCTGAGTCGTCTATACCCGTGTAGTCAACCTCGGGCTCTACTCCGACTGAGGGTGGTGACGTCAGAGTGAGTTGATGACGTCATGTTGATTGTTGAGTTGATGACGTTATTTTGGGTTTGATGACGTCATTATGGGAGCGGGGTGACCGTGTGAATGGCTGAACCTTGGCTAATTGGAGATATTTAAGATTACAGAAGACGGAACCCGGAAGCATTATTAGCTTATTAGTAACTGCTAAGAGGAGCTGCTAGATGATCAAGATTTGGCCAAACAAACTGCTCATCTTCCAACCTGATTCGTAACCGTTCTTCTCAATCTCCTTGTCACAAGCCTTATGATACTCCGTAATATCGTCGTAAAACGCATTACCGTTAATATCGTCGTAAAAATGGTTCTCGTCGTCCTCATCCTCACCATTGTGTACATTACTCGGTTCGTAGTAGTGAGTGTTGGCTTCTTCTTCTTCTTCTTTTTGAGCGGCTGTTGTTTCAGGGGTAGTGGGGTTTGGTAGGGGCCTGGTGGAACCGGGGGTTAGTGATGGTGATTACAAGTTAGATACGGGGTGTTGCATCAGCAACATGTTGATGATGGTGATTACAAGTTAGATACGGGGTGTTGCATCACCAACATGTTGATGATGGTGATTACAAGTTAGATACGGGATATTGCATCAGCAACATGTTGATGATGGTGATTACAAGTTAGATACGACGGGTTAGTGGTGTTGTTTGTAAGTTACATAACTTAATATATGAAATACCACGGTACCAGATGGTTCGAGTAAAGACAATCAAGGCACAGTATTCACACCACGTGGCACAAACTAGCCAATCAGAACTCACCTGTTAAAGATACTATCCAGATCATCGTAATCATCCCCGTACAACTCTGACAACTCCTTACTCTCCTCCACACTAACATTAGTAGGCACTATCACCGGCAAATCCTGCAAAACAGGCATAATCACCGGCAAATCCTGCAAAACAGGCATTATCACCGGCAAATCCTGCAAAACAGGCATTATCACCGGCAAATCCTGCAAAACAGGCACTATCACCGGCAAATCCTGCAAAACAGGCATTATCACCGGCAAATCCTGCAAAACAGGCATTATCACCGGCAAATCCTCCAAAACAGGCATTATCACCGGCACTATCACCGGCACTATCACTTGCAAATTCTGCAGAGCATCACCGCTTATAATTGAACTGGTGATCAGGTCTGTTTGATTTCTGGGTACGAGTGTACGACTCAAGCAGTCGGCGAGCGAATTAACGTAAACGAATCATACTCATCAACTGAGGCCTAAATTATATCATATTATTACTAATTATCATTACATTATGTTCGTGCTGATCAGATCACATTTTAAGTTTCATGGTGTGAGGGAAACTTATCTGAAATTCAGAAATTCAAGACCTTAGTAATTATTATAGGTTGCCATGGTTTGTAGCATCTCAACATTAAATGTGGCCTAAGAAAAGAATTAAAATAAAATTGACCACATTGTAGAGTCAAAGTAAACAGCTTCCATAATGTACTGTCAGTTGTATTATGTATAGCACCGAAGACACAGTGGCAGCTGAGTCGTAGTAGAATTGTATCGATAAGGGTTGAGATAAGAGAGCTCGATAATCAACGCGTAACAAAACTGGGCACTAATCATTCCTCATATAATATAACATTATATACAATACAATATATAATATACAATATTTTAGAACAAATGTAACCCGAAAGCTCTAGTATATTCCCATTGTTCTAGAATCATCCCTCATGAATCTTTACGTGCCGGAAGTAACAGCTCAATAAGTTAACTGATTTATTATTTTAAGAAAAGTGCGTGATCGAACACCATTAAGATGTATTGCTAACCCCCTAAAACCAAGGACAAAAGAAAATCGCGATTATTTAGGCCAAAAATCGCGGCGAAAATCTCGAAAATCGCAGCGAAATATAATGTATTTGCACGAATAGAATTATGAATTAGGGGTAGACTGGTTTGTAGGGTAATGACTTGCTAGTTGGTTTGTGTGTACGACTTAGAGGTGGCTACTTAGAGGTTGCGGCATGTTGCCAGCATTATGGCATCCTTTGTATAAGTTTTTCACTATCACTATGTTCGTAGAAATATTTCCTTTACCCTCATGAGTGTTTGTCCATATTGTGTTCGCAAAGGTATGTATGTTATAAAGTTATAATATATATTAATTGTCTTAACAATTGATCACTATTCTCATTGTTCCAAATCTCACTAAACAAATCTCACTAAAACCCTCTAAAAACCCTCTAAATAGAAGAAACACCAACCTTGTGAACGTCTGGATCGTTATAATCGTCCATTTCCTCCTCCTCCTCCTCCTCCTTTACAGTTTTGTCTGCTATGATTACAACAGTTTTCTCAACGGGAGGAGGAGGAGGTGGAGGACCTTTCGTAGGAGGGCCTTTCTCTGCTTGCTCTACTTTTTTCAGACCTAAGGGATCTGATGGTTTCATTGAGCACACTAAATCATTTCAAACGCAAGGATATATTTTCTGTTTTAAATCTATAAAAGTCGATTATTCTGAATGTTTAAATGATATTATGTCATGTAGGTTAGTCTCTTCAGCACGGTAATAACAAAATTACACCATACCATAAGTTAACGTAACCATGACAACACTACCATATATATATATAAGGCAATATCTTATACAGTTATACACATAGTAACTCAAAAGGAAACCTTCGTATTCTGCCATAACAAAGGGTGAAATATCCCTGTTCATGGAGAATGATGTCAGTCTTTTCAGCGCGACAGGGGAGGGCTTCAGGACGTCTTTAGGCACCATGTTCTCGTATGATATCTCACTAGAGTGGTAGTTAATTAGCTGATTATTCAATTAACAGGATTATACCTAATTCAATATTTCATGTTTTTATATGATCAAGTAACAAACTAGAAAATCAAACCAGAAAATCAAAGCTCTATTAATTAAAGAGGTTGACGTCTAAATTCAAGCTTCTCCATAACACATTGCTGAAAGGCTCAACGAATTTTTCCATCTTCATTTATCACTTGAATCGGGTTTATTGTTCTGATAAGATTACAGGTACTCAGCTAGACCAGATTATCAAATCAGGACTAGTAAAACTTCAGATGGAGTGACAAGTTGGATTATTGTTGTTGAATGGGAACTTCACTCGTAGCCAACACGGAGTCGAGAAGTCACACACACCCCATTGAAATGTTACAGATAATTTTTAAAGGACGATGATTATCAATCACACAGTTATCAGTGATTCCTGGCATTGTTCCAGAAACAAATATCATGACACCCCCCCCCCCCTCCCCCACAATTGATATAACTTTACGTACCTAATGTATTTAGGAACAGTGTTTTCTGCAACAAAGTATGTCTGAGTCAGGGAGGGCAGGTTACAGTAACTGGTGGGGAGGCAAGGAGTCTCTTCACAATACTCAACAACCTGGGATAAGGGGAGGTTAGTGGTAATGTAACAACCTGGGACAAGGGGAGGTTAGTGGTAATGTAACAACCTGGGACAAGGGGAGGTTAGTGATAAACTAACAACCTGGGACAAGGGGAGGTTAGTGATAATGTAACAACCTGGGACAAGGGGAGGTTAGTGGTAAACTAACAACCTGGGACAAGGGGAGGTTAGTGGTAAACTAACAACCTGGGACAAGGGGAGGTTAGTGGTAAACTAACAACCTGGGACAAGGGCCGGGAGGTTAGTGATAAACTAACAACCTGGGACAAGGGGAGGTTAGTGATAAACTACCAACCTGGGACAAGGGGAGGTTAGTGATAAACTAACAACCTGGGACAAGGGCCGGGAGGTTAGTGATAAACTAACAACCTGGGACAAGGGGAGGTTAGTGATAAACTAACAACCTGGGACAAGGGGAGGTTAGTGATAAACTAACAACCTGGGACAAGGGGAGGTTAGTGGTAAACTAACAACCTGGGACAAGAGGAGGTTAGTGATAAACTAACAACCTGGGACAAGGGGAGGTTAGTGATAAACTAACAACCTGGGACAAGGGGAGGTTAGTGATAAACTAACAACCTGGGACAAGGGGAGGTTAGTGATAAACTAACAACCTGGGACAAGGGGAGGTTAGTGATAAACTAACAACCTGGGACAAGGGGAGGTTAGTGATAAACTAACAACCTGGGACAAGGGGAGGTTAGTGATAAACTAACAACCTGGGACAAGGGGAGGTTAGTGATAAACTAACAACCTGGGACAAGGGGAGGTTAGTGATAAACTAACAACCTGGGACAAGGGGAGGTTAGTGATAAACTAACAACCTGGGACAAGGGAGGTTAGTGATAAACTAAAACTGGGACAAGGGGAGGTTAGTGATAAACTAACAACCTGGGACAAGGGAGGTTAGTGATAAACTAACAACCTGGGACAGGGAGGTAGTGATAAACTAATAACCTGAGACAAGGGGAGGTTAGTGATAAATAACAACTGGGACAAGGGGAGGTAGTGATAAACTAACCGGGACAAGGGAGGTAGGATAACTAACACTGGACAAGGGAGGTTAGTGATAACTACAACCTGGACAAGGAGGTTAGTGATAAATACAACCTGGGACAAGGGAGGTTGTGATAAACAAAACCTGGGACAAGGGGAGGTTAGTGATAAACTAACAACCTGGGACAAGGAGGTTAGTGATAACTAACAACTGGGACAAGGGAGGTTAGTGAATACAACTGGGACAAGGGGAGGTGTGATAACTAACAACTGGGACAAGGAGGTTATGGTAAACTAACAACCTGGGACAAGGGGAGGTTTTAAAATTAACAGTTTTGTTATAAATGGTGTTATATAGTTATATAGTATATATAGGATTATTGTTGTTGAATGGGAACTTCACTTAGTGATAAACTAACAACTGGGACAAGGGGAGGTTAGTGATAAAACTAACAACCTGGGACAAGGGGCGGTTAGTGATAAAAACTAACAACCTGGGACAAGGGGAGGTTAGTGATAAAGTAACAACCTGGGACAAGGGGAGGTTTTAAAATTAACAGTTTTGTTATAAATGGTGTTATATAGATTGGACCTTACATAATTATAAAGGATACGTTTTTTAGTTCGGTCAGATCACGACCTCGAAATTTCGCGCGAATTCAAAAATTCAAAATAATATGTATGTCATGTAGGTTCAACTCAGGTTTGGATTAAGGGGATGAAGCGTCAACACTCAACATAGTGTCATTTAAATACAGAATGTTTTGTGGCCAAGGCTAAAATCAATAGGCGTTACAAAATGAATGAGATTATGGTCTATGGTCTAATAGAAAATGAAAATAAACGTGAACAATAGTCCAACAAATAAACAACACAAAAATCGTTGTTTAGTACACAGGTCAAACTTTGAAGAATTTAAATCAGGTTAAACTCAGATTAAACCCATTTGCGATAGACTGAAAAAGAAACGAAAAGAATATCGTGTTTTGCTAAACTCACATTAAACCCGTTGATAATACACCAGAAGTAGTGGTAGGCGTCTGTTATTAGAAGATTCTGGTAATGGGGAAAATCACAGATGTTTTCCATATCTAGGGGGCAACAGTTCACTTAATTAACTATATTTGTTGAGCAACAGATCACTTAATTAACTATATTTGTTGAGCAACAGTTCACTTAATTAACCATCTTTGTTGAGCAACAGTTCACTTAAATAACTATATTTGTTGAGCAACAGTTCACTTAATTAACTATATTTGATGGAGAACAGTTCACTTAATTAACTATATTTGTTGAGCAACAGTTCACTTAATTAACTATATTTGATGGAAAACAGTTCACTTAATTAACTATATTTGATGGAAAAATTAACTAAATTTAATCTAATTAATGGTACGCTGTTCAGGGGATCATCACCGTTTAACCACCGTTTAAATTACGAATAGCGATTATTTCCTTCAGTGTCCCAAGTCTAAGTCTCATGTGAAAAGTCTTTCAAGATAAATTCCGAATCAGAGTTACCTAGTAACTGATTACAAAAGTAATATTACGACACTTAATTTCATACTGTCATACTCATACTCTTATATTAACTTATAAAGATCTTTCCCTTCTTTTTTAACATTCCCTCCACCAATATCAATTAATGAACAGCAAACAAAACCAAGTCGGACTAAACAGAAATACTCGCTACCTCCATGAGGAGGAACTATTATAATTATCAAATAAGATTGAAATTTAATAGGTCAATCAGCCAAGAAGCTTTACATCGAAAAGGGAGGAACTAAACGAAGTGTAAGACACGAGCTAAGAGAGTAATTACGCATAAAACTGCTGTGTGGGGGGAATTATTAGCAGAAAATACCGTAATTGTTAACAAAAAATACCGTACATTCCTCAACAATACCCCATACTCCAGAACAGTCTGCGATTTGAGCAGCAATGGCACGGGTAAAAAGTCACGTAAAAATACTTTACAATATCATAATATCAGAAACAGAAAGATGAAATCAGTGGCTATAAAATTATGCTAGTGATCCGGCCCACAGATATAATATGCAATGAAATGCATGTCATAAATTACATAAGGGGTAGTGTGTATTGTGTAATACTGGGGATGGATACACATCGTAATGCGGTTAATCTCTATATACATAAACCGGTAGATTACATCAGGACCAAACCTTTGGCCCCCTCCTGACATCATCTGTATAGGAAGCTTCATTGGTAAGTCTACTGACGTGTAATTGGGTGGTGTAGGTCACGTGGTTTGGGACAGTTTCCTGATTGGCTGGTACACGTCACGTGGTGGGTGGTGAGTCTTGTGATTGGTGTTGGGAGGATGGTTTGAAACAGAGGTGAACGTGAAGTATGAACGTGGTCACCTTTTGAAGAGAGTTGCTAATTGGTAATACTCGCTATTGTTTTTGTTAGCCAGCCAAGGAAACGGTAATTTGGTTATAAATTTAAAGCAGAACTTCAGACTCTTTTTCATAGTTCAGCTCATTTTTATAACACGTGATGCGTGATGACGTATCACGCATCACGTACAGTCTTACATCCGGAGAGAAATATTTGTAGATAAGAAGGGATTGTTGAAGGTCTTGTGAAATCAAAAGGTAATATCAGTAGACCATTGCAATGGAACATCTCTGATAATTGAGGAGAAAACATATAAAACAATAAAAGCTTACACAACATACTCCAATGCTACCAATATTACGAATGAACACGAAAAATTCATGAAATGATATAAAAGGAAGCCATTGCAGTTACAAGTTGGATGCACTAATAATAAAAATAATGATTATGTTAACACGTTATGAGAAATATTTCTGGGAATCATGCGTCATCATGTTTAAAAATACCATTCTTGTGTTTCACTGATCGTAAAATGATTGTTTGGTCCAACATGTTAATTTAGGACAAATGAAATATAGAACCTTTTAGCCGGGCTTTAACAGGGTTTTAAGAGGGTGAGAATTGAAAATACTCTCAGGAATAATCTAATCTCCATTATTAGATTAGGACGCTTAAATGTTCATGACTTTCAGAGATCAAATTGCCAAAAAACAATGTTAGCTGGAATTAAATGACCTGAAAGTTCGGTACTTTTACGTCAAACTTTGTTATAAGTCATTGCTGGAATACCTTTGTCGCCGTTAACTCGTTTGAGTATTTGTTTAAATACGATAAATACGGAAAGATAACGATAATATTTAATGGTGAGGTCCACAGGCTCGTCGACTTGAGGACCAGGCCGAACTTTTGCTTTTTTTATGGATTGTTTGGAACAACTTAAACTTCAAAAAAAGCGCCTTTAAATCCTACCTATAGATTCAGCTATATCCATGGGCTAGTAGAGTTACAGAGGCGCTTAACTATTTGAAACTTTACAACTTATAAGAAAGTAAAATGGTGATACAACATCGCACAGCAAGGCTGCGAAAGGCTCTACTGAATAGGCTATAGGAAGTAATAAAGCGAATTTAGGTATTACTTGATTGGATAAACCACTAAGTTTGAGTAAGAGTGCAAATGACCCCATAACCATTTCGTAAGTGTATATTTCCTTCCGGAAAAGTGCACTAATACTGATTTAACTATAATTTTCCGGTTTGAGAAGTCAGATAAAGTGTTATGGACTTCTTGTTCTGATTATGATATTTGATCGATCCATTGCATTGCAGCACGCAGATATTCGGATCTACATATTGCGCGTGGATAATCAAGTGACGCGGAAAAGATGAAAACTTACCTATTTATCAAAATCTCGCGCGTTACAAATATGCTCATAAAATTGTGTTTTGTTTATTTTTCTGCAAAGTTTGCCAATTTTGCACAATGCCTAGGCCTGAAGAGCTAAAATAAACATCAAATAATTGCATACCATATCATATTATGAAAGACAGTAAATATCCAAATTTTGCCCCACAACATCGCACACCCGCCGCACTTCTTTGATAATAAGAAATATCTTAGTAGCAAGATCCAAAATACACATTTGAAATCTTTATAAATACCTTCTTTCTTCTTGACGAAACTCTCCTAATAAGTCTCAAATTTCTTCTGTTTCTTCGCAGCGACTTTTGTTTGGTAAGATTTGCCCCTGAATGAATGAATTTCTGGGAAACGTCATAACAAAAGATTTTACGATCTTGCATAAATTATAACCACAGACTAGACGTCGTTAAAATAAATTACATATTTAATTGCCCACCAAATTAAATTCAGTTAAAATGTTAACTAATTCCTAAAAACCTGGTCTGACTCGCCGTTTCGAGTAATTTTCCCGTTTCTTTTTCTTTTTCTTCTTCTGTTCCTCTCTCGCATGTCTTATCACAACGTCCAAATTATTCTCGTAAATAGCTTCCGTCGAACTTCTGTGGAATTCAAGGAATGTTAAAATTTGGTTAAAGATGTGGACGATTACCAATGAACCATGCGTCTCCGTGGTATTTAGTAAAGGATTTATATCACTATATCGGATTAATATCCTCAATTTGTAGTCATTTATTTGGAGTCTACACCCGTTAATCAACTTACAATCTTATACAAATTATTTCAAACTCATAATTCAACACAAATTGTAACCACCTTCCACCACGCACATCATTATCTTTAAAAATATTTTATCTTTGATTAAAAAAACCCTTATTACAATTTAACAATAATGCGGGTTAATTCAGTGCAAATATTTACATAAATACCCCGAATTCCCCAGAGTTATGTCACAAGCTTTACAGTTTACAGCTTTACAGGGGATATCACATTGCTGGGGCCAATCTAATTTACCGCGTCGTAATCGGGGGCTGGGCTGTAGACTGTACAGTTGCCAACTGTGACGTCATTTCAGCGAGCCAATCAGAGCGCTGTATGAGCGCCCACGTGATCATTGTGAACCAATCAGGGGTGGGTATTCAGACACACGTGATACGAAATAACCAGTGGGAACTGTTTGCAGTTTTGTTAACTGTCATGAAATGCTACAGAGGAAAATAGCTCTAGCCTCTAACTAGCTTTAGCCATCCTGTATCCAAGTTTGGGAATGAGTGTAAACATTTCAAACGACGCTAAATATATTTATAACAACTATGTTAGTGTGTAAGTGTGGGATAGCAAAGTTTGTTGTGACTCACATGGCATATTTTGAGTTTAGGTACATACTTTCATTTATTAAGGATATAGAAAGTGGTTGGTGTTTGGTTATTATAAATATTTTTATTAACTCGTTGAAGCAGGTGTTTCACGTTTGTGATGTGTTATATCCAGTTATATTAATCAAGTTAAGTAACAACATTTTATTTATTAAATTCACTATATTCCAACACTGTATCTATTTTTAGCTCGAATATATCACAAAGAAATATATATAATATTACATCTCCTTAATGCAATCTTTCATATTACACGAATCAAGCAATACAAGAGTAGCTATCACAAAGAAAATAATTATAGAAATTAAATAACAAATATTAATAATCACAAGGAATACGATTCAATAGAAATCAAATAATATAAATATAATATTACGTTCTAAAAAAGTTAATAGTTATAAATAATAAAGTTCACCTAGGAGGTATTGAAGGCGGGGCGGCACTCATTATCATATATTGGCTCCCCATTAGCTGGCCGTTCTTTAGTACCTGAACAGTGCAAGTGTATATTGAGATTTGAGAGTAAGCTAAAAATAGATATATAATTAATCAGATGGGACTTGAAGCTCAGTATTAAAACGTTAATGCATAGATTTTGAGGAACAATTCCTAAAATAACTTAAAACCACTCACATTTAAACAACTGCCAGGTTTCAAGCAATCAATCAACTTCTGATCAAACAGCGCTCCTCCACCAGGTGCAGCGCCTCCACCACCAGGTGCAGCGCCTCCTCCACCAGGTGCAGCGCCTCCTCCCAGCCCTGCTGCGCTGGTGCTGTCCGCTATACCAAGTGATTTGCACAGTTCGGTCAGATTACGCAGCACTGGGTCAGCGCTGCCTGTTAGATCGCTGCAGGATTTAGTGCGAGTGTTGCAGGGGGCGAGTGGGGTCTGAAATTACAGATCGTCAAGACGTATTGATTATAATTCCAATTAATAATTATAATTGTAATTAAACGGTATATTAGAATAAACAGTATGTAAGCACCATCTATATTAGAAAAAATATATTAGAAAAAATGTTAGAATTCATTAAAATGTTTCAATCCTAGGTTTAAACCACGTAATATAACATTTGATAAAGCTCCGAATTTCAAAGTCTCATTAAAACTCAATTACTCAATAAGTGTACTAACGATAAGACTAGGCAAGGAGTTAGAATTCTGTCTAGCCAGAGCACCGTGTTTTTTAATACACATTCCATCCAGAGGATCCTCTGGGAGAGTAGGAGGTATTACTTACACTTTTTAAATTCCTAATGTTTTTAATACTGTATGTAGGTACCAAGAGCATTAGCTTAACTTACATATTGTTATTAGTGTTGGTAATAAAAGCGTATAATGATCCAATGTGAACAGATTCGAGTTAATAGTTATTGTCGTTCATAAAATCAAAGTTCGAATAGTGAGTATGACATTAGAGAATTTAAAACACTTTAAAAATGGCTGGAATTTCTAAAACACATACTCTCCAAATCATCGAGTATTATCAGAGTTCCATACTTTGGGGATTCCTTCCTAATGAAAACGGTCTCAGGCGAGATCACAATACTGTCGGGTGACGTCATCAAAACATCACGTGACGTCATCAGAACCCCACGTGACGTCACACAACAACAAGTATTCTCCCGGACTATTAACTGTCCGTACGCGGGAGAGATTGGCTTGTAATCGCGGCGTACTATGTTCAGTGCCTCGTTAATCGCGTCCTCGACAATGTACCGCGCCATTACGTCCAGATTCTGAAATTCCATCGTTCTAGAATCTAGATAATTCTGCTTTAGAAGATGAAAGAGATTGTGACAGCGGCAGGTAGATGACTCTTATCAATATACCAGAGTTAAAGTTGAAAATTAGATGGAACTTTAGTACTTTATTTCTACAAATACATTTCACCACACTCTTTAGCTGAGACAAAGTTCTAGGTAACCTCCAAAACGAAAGCAAGATAATATTATGAACAAAATCTACTACAACCTGTACTCATCTGTTGCTACAACTAGGATAACTTAATATGCATCGATACAGTATTCTTAGATATGGTTTTTTTAAACATTAAGTATATTACGTCATCATATTTGTCATGGTTCCAGCAGTCCAGCAGTCACGTACACATGCCATTCCAAAACAGAGTACGCAAAGGACACGTGTAATTTTTGTTCAAAGTTCCTATTCTTTAAATAAATCAGATTGAAATAATTGTTATTGTACGACTATAGTCTATACAAGATTAAAAACTACTGTATGTGACCAGAACAAGCACGAAAAACATCACAGAACATAGAACACGCATTACGCCTAACATCAGAAGTGAATTAAGGTAATTAAAGAAACATAATTCCCTTTACTTTTAACCTTTCATCACTACGAACACAGATTTAAAAAGAGAAGAATTTCAAAAAATAAATTCAAAGAAAAGAAAACGACATCTGACATTGCAAGTGACATTCAATACAGTGCTTCATGTTTCATGTTTCATACACTGCTATCGTGTTTAATACACGTCATGTTTTGATAATTATTTGAGTATTATGTTTTGTAGATTAATAATAAGTATAAAGTAAGTAAATGATAAGGCTGGAGTAGAAGTATTCATTCGGTATTGCTAGCATAATCTAGCGCTAATTTTCAAGAGCCTTATCGCTAATTTTGTTGAGCGATGAGTTGGGCTTTCTGTTTGTATATTTCCTGTTTTTAATCAGAAAACTAAAACAATTCTTCATGAAAATAAAATTTAAGTGCAACACCCAATATATTTCAACTCAGTTATTAGTAAAATTAAGTAATTGAACATTAATGAACTCACAATATCATCCTCGCAGAGTTCCTCGACTCCACTGTCAGTTGTCATGGAAACCTCCGTGATAACAGATGAAATGATGTTGGTAACATACTCATCAGCAAATTCGTAGACATCTTCATAATCTGGGACTGGAAGACGAAGATAATTAATAAACATTAATTATTAATGAACATTGAACTTGTATTGTAGACAATTATCTTTTAAGTAAAGTTTTAATAAATAAATAAATTCTAGAATTTATAACACGCTCTGACATAAATAACATACCCAAGAAAGACATAATTATGACGTTTAAGCTTTAAATAGATAAACCGGCGGAAGAATGATTATAAACTGGCTCAAATCCACGGGAAGTGGTACTCTCTCTCTAAATTTATTCCTTCCCCTTTTTTGGGCAATATTTATGCAAGTTATAAAGTAAATGTTTAACCCGTTAAACATAACTCTGTAATTCTAACCTGATTCTCCCTTGTCTGAATCATTGTCGTCGCTAGGCACCGGGTCGTTGTCACCAGGACCGTCGTCATCACTGTCGTCGTCAGGGGAAGAGTCTTCATCGCTCGTGTCGTCTTGGAACGACAACATTTTGAACACCTGAAATATCCGATATAACAAGATTGAGATACAAAATGGAATATAACATAAAAAGGGAACCTAGTCAATAATACGGAAAACTTGTGAATTTGAGTGAATTTACAATAAGTGAAAGTTTCAAATTGGGCACTTTCAAAAACATCTGTCACGGAAAAAATGTTAAAATTTGTCAAAAATCAGTTTTTGTGGCATAATTTGGTGGATAATTTTTGGAACGGGATGAAACTCCAGGATATGGTGTGCTATACCCTAACCTTTACTATCTGCCACTTTTTGTTTCGATTTAGGGCTAAATCTGGTGGATAAAAGTGAGACAGACCAATCCACTTCAGGTGGCCTTTAAAAATATTTAATTCCATCTAAACTCCTAAAATATGATTGAGACTTATAAATAATCGTTATAACTTCACAATTTCATATGTAGGGCCGGGATTTTTCTTAAGGGTCAAATTTGGTGGATATATTTTTTTACCTCTTTTTTAAGACTGTTATTTGTTAGCTAACATCAATTTACTGGTCTTAAAATGGTGAAAAGGCAATGTTAAATGAATGGCACCAACTTAGAGTTCGAGATTTAAGTTTAAAGGCTATTTTTGGTGGATATAAGTCAATATTAATTATTTAAACACGTAAATGCTACCAAAATATCAATAAATAAGACATCATCATGATTAGAAACAGATAAAATATATGATGTTGAACATTAATGTAAAAGGTAGTATGGTATTTTAAGCTTTTAGGGCCAATTTGGTGGATAATTAACTTAAAAATACTTAAAATATCGACCTGGATATTTTGATATCCATCAATTTTGGCCTTAAAAGTCGGCTTGAGCTTATCACATTTTGTGCTGAACACGAAAAAGGTCTAAACAAACCAATATCAGTGTATGATTTCATAATTGAGCAAATCTAAGGCCAGAAATAGTGGATAAAAAAGCAAATTTAACCGTTTTTAAGCTAATTTCTTAGGCATTTATCCACCAAAAACGGCCCTAAATGGAGAATGTTTGGAACGTTTACTTGAAACTATAGCCCTTCTTTACGACCTCAGAACAATGATTTTCAGCTCTTTCGACCTTAAGATATAATTATTGGGCTTTGAAAGTGGATCACATACGTTATCAGTAAAGAAATCGTTATTTCAATCGCTGAGGTAGGTTATTCACATTTAATATCCACCAATTTTAACCTTAAAAGTCGTCTTGGACTGAGAATTCTTTTGAACTGACTCAGCAAAGGGGATCTTCTATCTAGAAACAGTTGTAGTTTCATGATAGAACACATCTTGGGCCAAAAAAAGTGGATAAAAAATCAAATTTTCCCGTTTGTGTGCTTTTATCCACCAAAAACGGCTCTAAAGGCTGAAAGGAGACATTTTGTTAAGTTCGTATGAAACTATATCCATTCATTACGGCCCTAGAGCAATAATTGTATACATTTTCAGCTTCTAGACGAAATAATTGGGGTCTAACAATGGATAACCTGCATTATTGACTCAGAAATTGACTTAAAATTAAATCAATCTTGAAGCTCCAATATATCCACCAAAAATGGCCTAAAAATTAAATCTTCTATGCTATCATAAACTTGAAACGATTTCCAACCTGATCCGTTCACTGAGTAAAGCTGGTGAACTTGTTGACCAATATAATTTTTTCAGTTGAAAATTTTCGGTATTGAATTTTATTTCATCGTTTTATTATCCACCATATCTAGCCTTAAAATTGAAATCTTTCTTTATTTTCGCCTTTTATCATAGAGGCATATCGATTTGCTACAATTCTATCTTTAAATAATCACCATAAATTAACCACACGTAAAGTTACAGGCCAATCAATGATATATCCACCAAACCCCTCTGAAAAGTATATCCACCATTATTAGCCCTGATTTAAATGCGTGTATCTCTGCTCATAGACATAGTAGACATTTTATTCTTTTTGTAAAAGTTGAACTATCGCAAATCCTATGCTGAAAAAAAGTTTAATCAAAATATTGAGTTTATCCACCAAATGAGAGCTTCTAGAAGTTGAAATTTTTCCCGTGACAGATTCGTTAACATAGTTTTTGAAAGTGCCCAATTTCAAATTTTTGCATGTGGAATCCCCTACTAACCTCCTCAATAATCTCATCACTGAGTTTATCAGCATAGTTGACTACGTCACTATTGGATATGACGTCACAACATGCGTCACCGTTACTGGATAACATCTCCAGAGAGTTGGTATCTAGATCCATGTAAAGCAGATCAGGTTCACTGTCACTGAGGGAGACACGTGGTCAGTGAGAGAGACAGACTTATCACGTGATCAGTTTATCACACGGCGAGAAACTGGTAAAGAATTGTAAATTTCAATGAAGATTTTATTTTGGATTCGTTTTTTATCTGACTCTGAGATTTTTAAAACTGTGAAAGAATTTAAATTTTTGTCATTTCCATACCGTTTTACAATTATTACCTAATATCTTCAGATTGTCTCAGTTTATATGTACGTGGGTATTATACACCGGACTATTTTACCAGGGACCGATATATCAAGTAATCAGACAAATTGATGAATAAAAAACACATTTACGTGTTCTGAAGTACTGTGTCAACTCCACACAAAGCTTAACTCGTGCCGAGATTTTACTGCAACACCTAAAATCGAAAAACAGGACGTCCCGAACAACTCTAAGAAACAGATTCTACAGTAAAAATAAAATCAGGACGTCAAGACTACAAGGAAAATAAGGATACCTAAGATCGTGACCAAAAGAGCGTTGTCTCCTTATTCTCCAGATCTCCGCAGGTACTACCGGCCTACACCGTGTTGCTTTGTACCTTTAAATATTGGAGGTTAGTGGCTGGACCTGCCAGGTACTACCGGCCTACACCGTGTTGCTTTGTACCTTTAAATATTGGAGGTTAGTGGCTGGAAGTGGCAGGTACTACCGGCCTACTGGCCTACACCGTGTTGCTTTGTACCTTTAAATATTGGAGGTTAGTGGCTGGACCTGCCAGGTACTACCGGCCTACACCGTGTTGCTTTGTACCTTTAAATATTGGAGGTTAGTGGCTGGAAGTGCCAGGTACTACCGGCCTACACCGTGTTGCTTTGTACCTTTAAATATTGGAGGTTAGTGGCTGGAAGTGCCAGGTACTACCGGCCTACACCGTGTTGCTTTGTACCTTTAAATATTGGAGGTTAGTGGCTGGAAGTGCCAGGTACTACCGGCCTACTGGCCTACACCGTGTTGCTTTGTACCTTTAAATATTGGAGGTTAGTGGCTGGAAGTGCCAGGTACTACTGGCCTACACCGTGTTGCTTTGTACCTTTAAATATTGGAGGTTAGTGGCTGGAAGTGCCAGGTACTACCGGCCTACACCGTGTTGCTTTGTACCTTTAAATATTGGAGGTTAGTGGCTGGAAGTGGCAGGTACTACCGGCCTACTGGCCTACACCGTGTTGCTTTGTACCTTTAAATATTGGAGGTTAGTGGCTGGAAGTGCCAGGTACTACTGGCCTACACCGTGTTGCTTTGTACCTTTAAATATTGGAGGTTAGTGGCTGGAAGTGCCAGGTACTACCGGCCTACACCGTGTTGCTTTGTACCTTTAAATATTGGAGGTTAATGGCTGGACGTGTCAGACAATTTATCTATTAACTTAAAAAGCATTATAAATTCTAGCTTGTTATTTCAGTAAAACCATGTTATACCGGGAATTTCGGGGGAAACGAATATGCACAGTATAGAAAAAACATTGGTATAAAAAAGAGGTTTTATTGTATACATTTTCTCCCGAGAAGCTGAAACGGGATGGATAAAAATTCAAAGGTGACTACCCTGGCGCCCCTTCCTCCCCCATCTATATTCTATATTACCTGTCTCCTCTTGAGAGGAGTTCAGGACTACAAGCAGGAGATCTGTTAGAACTAGATTTCCTCCTCTCGTGTATCTCCTGTCTCTTCTGTTGCTCAGAGGACTGGTCCGCGAAGAAGTCGTTTAGAACTGGGATAGTGGGTGGTTAGTGGTTAGTGGTTAGTGGTTAGTGGTTAGTGGTTAGTGGTTAGTGGTTAGTGGTTAGTGGTTAGTGGTTAGTGGTTAGTGGTTACTGTGGTGTTTTTAAATGAAGATTTAGGGTTTGTTTGGGGTAATTGTTGGCTGGTTAGGTTGTGGTGTTGTCAATTGAAGTTTGATCATTACATTCCGGATCAGTTGTGGTGTTGTCAAATGAAGTTTGATCATTACATTCCGGATCAGTGTAGGAATTTGAAATACGCAGTGACATGATGAAAGTAAACACAGAAATGAGTACAGAGGGTGCAATTTCCGGTGACCTCACAGAGTAACTGCATTTGTTAACAATGTAACAGTATAATAATATGAGTATTGTAATTGTAGGGCGTGAAATGGTGCACCTGGGAATGTGATATGATCTAGGAAGAAGGAATGTGACATAAAGACAAAACTTGGAATTTGAAATATGAAGATCCTTCAAAGTTGAAAATCAAATTTAAAAGAACAATTTATTTGTACACTGCACAGACAGGTCTGACGAAAAACGAACAACAGAAAAAACAAATTTACAAATTAACTTACGAACGCAAAAAGAAACAAGTTACAAACCAACTCACGAACGCAAAAACAAACCAACTTACGAACAGACACAAATATGTAAGACAGACACACAAACAATAATAAATAACAATTCTAACCTTGGGACACGAGTCCGTCAGCGAAAGAATCAAGGTCGTCACTTTGGGAGGTATTAGAATCATCCTCATTCGTTCTCATGTCCTCTGAATTAAGAAAATAATTTGAGTTATGTTTACCCTTTTGAATATGCTGAAAAGTCAGTTTATCACTTTTTAAATTATTAAATGTGTTCGTATTCGAATTTTTCATTTAGAATTGAGTAAATTAATGGCTGAGAGACGTGAAGTAAGTGATGAAAATCAATCAAAATAATGAGTTATTTAACGAAAACTAGTGCCAAACTTTCAAAACATAAGCGATCATCTTAGAAAATACCGCTTGGAAAATGGAGAACACTATCGAGAATTTTCGTTTTTACTGCATGCTGTAAACTTTAACCAAACCTTCAGACATGTGTAATTTTAAGCGGCAAACAAGTGATATACGGCAACAAAACATTTTGCTACATTTCGCATGGCGACATTCGCAATAAAACGTGTGCATTTTTCACTTCATTTCTCTTCAGACACAGAATTTTTAACTCTTTAACAACTTACTCTATAAGACTTAATTGTTTAATTAGATGCCAGAATCGAGTCTAGAATTTTAAAAATGCCGCCGAAGCAAGATGCTGTTTTGATCATTTAACGAGAGAACGTAACAGAATGCTTGCCAAATTCACGATCAAACCATCACAACTATACACTGCAAAGACAAAGTTGCAACTCGTAGACGGTAGCAAAGTGTATTAGATTAAATAATATACAATTTGCCACGTGTTTATGGAATAACTACAAGGTCTAGATCACGTGATCAAATACAATGAAACTAACTAGTGGTATTTTATAACATCATAACAAAGCTACAGAATTATTAGAAGTTTTGAACTCTAAACATCAAAACAAAGCTACTTTTAATACACGTGGGCAGTCCTAAAAGTCACGTGGGCAGTCCTAAAATCACGTGGGCAGTCCTAAAAGTCACGTGGGCAGTCCTAAAAGTCAGGTGTGCGTACTATTCAGTGCATAGTACTCGTTTTCTGCAAGACACGGATATATATTTTAATTGGCGCACACGCTGGTAGAAGGTTCTAGTTTAAATCTAGAGGGTAATATTAATTACATAATTAGAATATTTTGTTGGATGATTGCCAGCAACTGAGCAGCTCATAATTATTTCTCTTTGCACGACAATTATATGGTGAACAAGAATTCATTTTTTAAAGCTCGTTTTTAGGCAAAAGGACACGATGAATCGTCAAGATTTGCTGGACTCTTTAAAAAAATCTCGTATCCCTTCTCAGAATTGAAGAAGATTTTAAATCACAGCTGACTTTTAACTATACAACCATCAATTAACTAATTAATCGTGATCCAAGATCACTTAAATCTACTATTAACCTGTCTCTTCGGTAGTTTCCTCGTTCCTAAAATTCGTTGATACCAGGTTATTGAGATACGTATCCTCCTCGAATTCCTAAAAGAAAACAGTGTTAAAATAGTTCTCAAATTTCACCTCGAGCTTAGTAAAGAAATGGGTATAATGGGAGTAATTATCGGTAATTTCTCTGTTTTTACAGGAAATACGGGAAATTCCTGGGCTTATTCACTAAAAAACAGACGTCTGTGTTGTTCTCTAATGACTTAAATAGAACTGTATTTTTACCGTACCACACCCACAGGGAATAAAATACACGCCATTACTGAGTAATGAGTATTTCTAGCTTTATTCTTAAACAACATCATTTCTAAGTAACTGTATTTCTAAGTAACAGCATTTTTAACACAGTCTTCTCAGACAGTTGCTATATTTATACAGCTGCGTTATTCTAAAAACAGTATTTTGAAAAAGCCCCCACCAGCTCGATACACCCCAGACTAAAACATTAAGAATATTAGAACACTAGTGTAATTCCTACCAACACCCCATCACTACACAATATTATAGGGTGTTTCACAAAAAAATGTGACTATTTTAAAAATAGAGAACAGATTATTTGACCCTGTTTACGTGTATAGCATTCTTAACAACAAGATACAGGAATGTTACGAGATCATATCTGAGATCGGTATTTCGTGACGAAGTGTAGCGGTATTTACAAATATTGTGGGGCCTGTTGAGATATCCCAAATCTAATTATTTCGACCGGGATCTGATTATAGACTGTACACCCTATATGCATCATCATGTTGCAAATCTCTCATCAAGATCTCGGTCAGATGACCCAATCAACTGTTCTCGACTATGTCACGTGACCTAATTCTGACATTCAATCCCTTTCAAGACAATTTCTTATTTTTCTGAATAGACTCAGCGATCATAATGTTGTAATTTATAAGTGATAATTGTTATTTACCTTCGTAACAACACTGTCGTCACTGAGTCAATTTAGAAACTAAACAAATGGTTACCTTCAGACTCCATATCTATACACACGGATAATGATAATGGAATTATATTGTGTACTTTCACAAGAAATACAAGTGGTATTATGTGTTCATGTAAAATATGTATGTTCAGAATATAATACTGATGAATAAAAAGGGGTAGGGCGTGAAAGATGAGTCCTACTAGATCCTGGAGAGAAATAATTAGATTTGCGATATCTAAACAGGTCCTATAATTTTTGTACACAGTATCTAGGTATTTACAATATATATCTGTACACAGTGATGCTGACATTAAATCCACTGATTGGCAAATAAAATAGATCTGCATACATGTGGGAACTGGGGAGGTAAACCATATTTGTTTTGATTTTTAGTAATTTGTTTTAGGAAAAGATTAGACGTTAAAAAAATTATCCCCTGTTTAGATCTTTTATCTAGTTGTAATAAGTAACTGCGTGTTGCACATTAACTAACCAAATCAAACATCATGATGAGAGTCTAGTAGTCCGGTGGTGCGGAACACGGTGGTCATGGTACAGAACACGGTAGCATTGTAGAGTTTTAGGGTCACTAATTAGCCAATTAGTTATCAATTAATTAATATAATTAGCCGATTAGTAATCAATGTGTTATAAGTTAATCTATGACAACAGTGATAGAGAAAAACAATCATAAAAATAACTATAAAATAATTATAAAAATAACTATGAGATAATTACAAAAACGTATGGTTAAGTAACAAGACTCGATCGGAATGTTATTAGCATAGTTCACCATTTTGTGTGCCGAAGGCATGTGAAATATTTAACCATGCTATCTATTTCACAATATCAATAGCACAGACAACATAGCGAAGTAGATGTTTTTGTTCAATATTTGAAATAAAATATAGGTACTATTAATGGCCATCCTCGTGAGGCTATAATAATGATAAACATTTCATGATACATTCAACGAATAACAACAACAGAAAACAAAGCTTTAATTACGCAAACAAAGGTAGCAATTCCTTAGTATAACTTAATTATTAATTAATGGTTCATAACTTTACGTCCAAATTAAGACAATAATAAAATAACGGCTACAAAACCTAACAAATTAACGTATACATCGGAACGGTTTCAAACATCTGTAAATTAATTAATGAACAAGGAACCAGCTATATTTCCGTTCCAATGATTCGTGAACATCCTTTAAATCGAAGAGAGAGAGAATGAGCGAGCACCTAAGCTCTCAGATCTACCATAATCTCTCAATTAATATAGAGGCGCAGGCGCGACTCCGTAACGGTTAAAAAATATATTATATTATATACTCACTTATACTTACTTCATGTTTTCAATATTAAATCATATTATATACAGAATATATATAATTCTGATAGCTGTGCCAACGGTTTGCTCTCTGCTGTTTAAGCAAATTGGATTTTAGTAAATATTATTAGTAAGTAAGCCAGCTATCAACCGAATGGAAACCAGTAAACTACCAATAAATGGTTTTGCTAAACGGCCAACGGGTGATCGACCTCGTTTCGAGAAAAATTACCTTAAATGGCAACGAATTGAAGTTTTTAAGATAAAATTGTAATAAAAACGAGGTTGAACTATAAAACGGCCCACGCTAGGTCGCTATATTAGTACATATAGCTCGTTGGCTGAAATAAAATTATTAACAAATAAAACCTCAAGCTCCAGCTACCTCGACGAAATATGCACAAAGAATGGCGGTCTTAACTCGGCAACATACCTGGCTATATGTCTGAACATAAATGGCGTAATTGCTGACCGTGTCACTGTGGTGGGGAGGCGGGAGGTGGAGCACACTGCTTTCTTACAACTACCAGGTAGTGTGTGTGCTACCATGACAACAGTGTGTGTGCTTCCATGACAACAGTGTGTGCTACCATGTCAACAGTGTGTTCTGCCATGACAACAGTGTGTGCTACCATGTCAACAGAGTTGAGTAGTGATGTAGTGTGTGTGCTACCATGAAAACAGTGTGTGCTACCATGTCAACAGACTACAGAGTGGCAGTGAGTGTGCTACCATGACTACAGAGTGGTAGTGAGTGTGCTACCATGACAACAGAGTGGCAGTGAGTGTGCTACCATGACAACAGATTGGTAGTGAGTGTGCTACCATGACAACAGAGTAGCAGTGAGTGTGCTACCATGACAACAGAGTGGTAGTGAGTGTGCTACCATGACAACAGAGTGGCAGTGAGTGTGCTACCATGACAACAGAGTGGCAGTGAGTGTGCTACCATGAAAACAGAGTGGCAGTGAGTGTGCTACCACGACAACAGAGTGGTAGTGAGTGTGCTACCATGACAACAGAGTGGCAGTGAGTGTGCTACCATGACAACAGAGTGGCAGTGAGTGTGCTACCATGACAACAGAGTGGCAGTGAGTGTGCTACCATGAAAACAGAGTGGCAGTGAGTGTGCTACCACGACAACAGAGTGGTAGTGAGTGTGCTACCATGACAACAGAGTGGCAGTGAGTGTGCTACCATGACAACAGAGTGGCAGTGAGTGTGCTACCATGAAAACAGAGTGGCAGTGAGTGTGCTACCACGACAACAGAGTGGTAGTGAGTGTGCTACCATGACAACAGAGTGGCAGTGAGTGTGCTACCATGACAACAGAGTGGCAGTGAGTGTGCTACCATGACAACAGAATGGTAGTGAGTGTGCTACCATGACAACAGAGTAGCAGTGAGTGTGCTACCATGACAACAGAGTGGCAGTGAGTGTGCTACCATGACAACAGAATGGTAGTGAGTGTGCTACCATGACAACAGAGTAGCAGTGAGTGTGCTACCATGACAACAGAGTGGTAGTGAGTGTGCTACCATGACAACAGAGTGGCAGTGAGTGTGCTACCATGACAACAGAGTGGCAGTGAGTGTGCTACCATGACAACAGAGTGGTAGTGAGTGTGCTACCATGACAACAGAGTGGTAGTGAGTGTGCTACCATGACAACAGAGTGGCAGTGAGTGTGCTACCATGACAACAGAGTAGCAGTGAGTGTGCTACCATGACAACAGAGTGGTAGTGAGTGTGCTACCATGACAACAGAGTGGCAGTGAGTGTGCTACCATGACAACAGAGTGGCAGTGAGTGTGCTACCATGACAACAGAGTGGTAGTGAGTGTGCTACCATGACAACAGAGTGGCAGTGAGTGTGCTACCATGACAACAGAGTGGCAGTGAGTGTGCTACCATAACAACAGACTGGTAGTGAGTACATGCTATCGCATATCATGGCAACAGAGTGGCAGTGAGTGTACTACCATGACAACAGAGTGGCAGTGAGTGTGCTACCATGACAACAGAGTAGCAGTGAGTGTGCTACCATGTCAACAGAGTGGTAGTGAGTGTGCTACCATGACAACAGAGTGGCAGTGAGTGTGCTACCATGTCAACAGAGTGGTAGTGAGTGTACTACCATGACAACAGAGTCTGCTACCATGACAACAGAGTGGTAGTGTGTGTGCTACCATGACAACAGAGTGGTAGTGAGTGTGCTACCATGACAACAGAGTGGCAGTGAGTGTGCTACCATGACAACAGAGTGGTAGTGAGTGTGCTACCATGACAACAGAGTGGTAGTGAGTGTGCTACCATCTCAACAGAGTGGTAGTGAGTGTGCTACCATGACAACAGAGTGGCAGTGAGTGTGCTACCATGTCAACAGAGTGGTAGTGAGTGTGCTACCATGTCAACAGAGTGGTAGTGAGTGTGCTACCATGTCAACAGAGTGGTAGTGAGTGTGCTACCATGTCAACAGAGTGGTAGTGAGTGTGCTACCATGTCAACAGAGTGGCAGTGAGACTGTGAGTGTGCTACCATGACAACAGAGTGGTAGTGAGACTGTGAGTGTGCTACCATGTCAACAGAATGGTAGTGAGTGTGCTACCATGTCAACAGAGTGGTAGTGAGTGTGCTACCATGACAACAGAGTCTGCTACCATGACAACAGAGTGGTAGTGAGTGTGCTACCATGTCAACAGAGTGGTAGTGAGTGTGCTACCATGTCAACAGAGTGGCAGTGAGACTGTGAGTGTGCTACCATGACAACAGAGTGGTAGTGAGTGTGCTACCATGTCAACAGAGTGGCAGTGAGACTGTGAGTGTGCTACCATGACAACAGAGTGGTAGTGAGTGTGCTACCATGTCAACAGAGTGGTAGTGAGTGTGCTACCATGACAACAGAGTGGTAGTGAGTGTGCTACCATGACTACAGAATGGTAGTGGGTGTGTTACCATGTCAACAGAGTGGTAGTGAGTGTGCTACCATGACAACAGAGTGGTAGTGAGTGTGCTACCATGTCAACAGAGTGGCATGGCAGTGAGTGTGCTACCATGACAACAGAGTGATAGTGAGTGTGCTACCATGACAACAGAGTGGCAGTGAGTGTGCTACCATGACAGCAGAGTGGTAGTGAGACTGTGAGTGTGCTACCATGTCAACAGAGTGGTAGTGAGTGTGCTACCATGACAACAGAGTGGTAGTGAGTGTGCTACCATGACAACAGAGTGGCAGTGAGTGTGCTACCATGACAACAGAGTGGTAGTGAGTGTGCTACCATGACAACAGAGTGGCAGTGAGTGTGCTACCATGACAACAGAGTGGCAGTGAGTGTGCTACCATGACAACAGGGTGGTAGTGAGTGTGCTACCATGACTACAGAATGGTAGTGAGTGTGCTACCATGACAACAGAGTGGTAGTGAGTGTGCTACCATGACTACAGAATGGTAGTGGGTGTGTTACCATGTCAACAGAGTGGTAGTGAGTGTGCTACCATGACAACAGAGTGGTAGTGAGTGTGCTACCATGTCAATAGAGTGGCAGTGAGTGTGCTACCATGACAACAGAGTGATAGTGAGTGTGCTACCATGACAACAGAGTGGCAGTGAGTGTGCTACCATGACAACAGAGTGGTAGTGAGACTGTGAGTGTGCTACCATGTCAACAGAGTGGTAGTGAGTGTGCTACCATGACAACAGAGTGGTAGTGAGTGTGCTACCATGACAACAGAGTGGCAGTGAGTGTGCTACCATGACAACAGAGTGGTAGTGAGTGTGCTACCATGACAACAGAGTGGCAGTGAGTGTGCTACCATGACAACAGAGTGGCAGTGAGTGTACTACCATGACAACAGGGTGGTAGTGAGTGTGCTACCATAACAACAGAGTGGTAGTGAGTGTGCTACCATGACAACAGAGTGGCAGTGAGTGTGCTACCATGTCAACAGAATGGTAGTGAGTGTGCTACCATGACAACAGAATGGTAGTGAGTGTGCTATCATGACAACAGAGTGGCAGTGAGTGTGCTACCATGACTACAGAGTGGTAGTGAGTGTGCTACCATGTCAACAGAATGGTAGTGGGTGTGCTACCATGACAACAGAGTGGCAGTGAGTGTGCTACCATGTCAACAGAGTGGTAGTGAGTGTGCTACCATGTCAACAGAGTGGTAGTGAGTGTGCTACCATGTCAACAGAGTGGTAGTGAGTGTGCTACCATGTCAACAGAGTGGTAGTGAGTGTGCTACCATGTCAACAGAGTGGCAGTGAGACTGTGAGTGTGCTACCATGACAACAGAGTGGTAGTGAGACTGTGAGTGTGCTACCATGTCAACAGAATGGTAGTGAGTGTGCTACCATGTCAACAGAGTGGTAGTGAGTGTGCTACCATGACAACAGAGTCTGCTACCATGACAACAGAGTGGTAGTGAGTGTGCTACCATGTCAACAGAGTGGTAGTGAGTGTGCTACCATGTCAACAGAGTGGCAGTGAGACTGTGAGTGTGCTACCATGACAACAGAGTGGTAGTGAGTGTGCTACCATGTCAACAGAGTGGCAGTGAGACTGTGAGTGTGCTACCATGACAACAGAGTGGTAGTGAGTGTGCTACCATGTCAACAGAGTGGTAGTGAGTGTGCTACCATGACAACAGAGTGGTAGTGAGTGTGCTACCATGACTACAGAATGGTAGTGGGTGTGTTACCATGTCAACAGAGTGGTAGTGAGTGTGCTACCATGACAACAGAGTGGTAGTGAGTGTGCTACCATGTCAACAGAGTGGCAGTGAGTGTGCTACCATGACAACAGAGTGATAGTGAGTGTGCTACCATGACAACAGAGTGGCAGTGAGTGTGCTACCATGACAGCAGAGTGGTAGTGAGACTGTGAGTGTGCTACCATGTCAACAGAGTGGTAGTGAGTGTGCTACCATGACAACAGAGTGGTAGTGAGTGTGCTACCATGACAACAGAGTGGCAGTGAGTGTGCTACCATGACAACAGAGTGGTAGTGAGTGTGCTACCATGACAACAGAGTGGCAGTGAGTGTGCTACCATGACAACAGAGTGGCAGTGAGTGTGCTACCATGACAACAGGGTGGTAGTGAGTGTGCTACCATGACTACAGAATGGTAGTGAGTGTGCTACCATGACAACAGAGTGGTAGTGAGTGTGCTACCATGACTACAGAATGGTAGTGGGTGTGTTACCATGTCAACAGAGTGGTAGTGAGTGTGCTACCATGACAACAGAGTGGTAGTGAGTGTGCTACCATGTCAATAGAGTGGCAGTGAGTGTGCTACCATGACAACAGAGTGATAGTGAGTGTGCTACCATGACAACAGAGTGGCAGTGAGTGTGCTACCATGACAACAGAGTGGTAGTGAGACTGTGAGTGTGCTACCATGTCAACAGAGTGGTAGTGAGTGTGCTACCATGACAACAGAGTGGTAGTGAGTGTGCTACCATGACAACAGAGTGGCAGTGAGTGTGCTACCATGACAACAGAGTGGTAGTGAGTGTGCTACCATGACAACAGAGTGGCAGTGAGTGTGCTACCATGACAACAGAGTGGCAGTGAGTGTACTACCATGACAACAGGGTGGTAGTGAGTGTGCTACCATAACAACAGAGTGGTAGTGAGTGTGCTACCATGACAACAGAGTGGCAGTGAGTGTGCTACCATGTCAACAGAATGGTAGTGAGTGTGCTACCATGACAACAGAATGGTAGTGAGTGTGCTATCATACAGAGTGGCAGTGAGTGTGCTACCATGACTACAGAGTGGTAGTGAGTGTGCTACCATGTCAACAGAATGGTAGTGGGTGTGCTACCATGACAACAGAGTGGTAGTGAGTGTGCTACCATGTCAACAGAGTGGTAGTGAGTGTGCTACCATGTCAACAGAATGGTAGTGAGTGTGCTACCATGACAACAGAATGGTAGTGAGTGTGCTATCATGACAACAGTGTGGCAGTGAGTGTGCTACCATGACAACAGAGTAGCAGTGAGTGTGCTACCATGACAACAGAGTGGTAGTGAGTGTGCTACCATGACAACAGAGTGGTAGTGAGTGTGCTACCATGACAACAGAGTGGTAGTGAGTGTGCTACCATGACAACAGAGTGGCAGTGAGTGTGCTACCATGTCAACAGAGTGGCAGTGAGTGTGCTATGACTCACTAGTCACTACTGCAGTGTAAGTATGAATTGAAAACCACAGATTATAGATCTAAATGACTAAATCCACCGAGAAAAGCTTCAAAATCGATCAATAAAGCAATAACGTAATATTGAAAAATGACGAATACTACATTTCATCTAGGCGAGCAAAAGAATAAAATAGACTACAATATGCCAATCCTATCATATAATATGTATTATGTATATGCTATATAATATATATATTACTACAAAACCGGGGTACAGAAAGGAAGCTGTAATTTCAATTTTTATCGCATCAAGAAATGACCATCCCAATCGAAATTAAAGTAAAATAAATAACATTTATGACACGCGTCAACATTTGACAAAATATAACCAAGGAAGATGTAATTTAAGTCATTCAAGCGAGACTCAGTTTCTCTATAATAGAGATATAATAAAAATTTTACATAACAATATATTAACCCAACTGAAAATCTGATTCTCTTGACAAATTTAAAGTGAGGTAAACGACAAATATCACGATTTAACCGTAAGACAATTAAATGGAGTTGATGTGCATTTAAACCACGACACTAAATTCTACGACATTCCGGCCATTCCAGTCATTATTTCAGCTTCATTACAATATGTTTGACCACTTAATTAAGTAACTTTAAAGTAAGAACTGGAACAAGTTTTTAAGCTTTAAGGTAAACAAAATTCTGTTTAGTAAGTTTAAATATCTCGTTTAGTATGGAACGTTCCATTAAGTGTAATGCTCCTTGCTGTGTAATATGCAAATACCATCATACTGTCATGTGTACTTTTGGAGTTCGTTGTTAGCGATTGCGTTATTTTTCACAGAATGACCCGTGTAGTTTTAACTTTTACCCATATTAGTCCTTATCGTCAGCAGTTGAAGATTGTTGCTGATGAAGTACTAGAATGGTCGTCCAAGATGAATTTTAAGGGAAAATTCTGGGTATATTAAGTTAGTATAACTAATGTATAATGTGGAAACTAAAACATTGATAACTAAAACCAACTAAAACCAACTAAAATCAACTAAACCCTTGCGATCTAAAACCAACTAAGTAAACTAAAACCAACTAAATTCTTGCAAACTTAAACCAACTAAAGCATTGCAAACTAAAACCACCAACTAAAGCATTTGTGTCTTGGTAAATTGGACGGAGAGTAGTGGTGGGTCTTGACAGCCACTTAGACCTTCAGTCCTTTATTTGGTAACACGGTTATTTTGACGACTTAACTAAGATTAAATTAGACTGGTGGCCACCCATTAACCTAGACTTGCGCAAATAGGGGACCGGAGGGGGCGGAGTTAAATAGGGGGTTAACTAGGGGGGAGCCGGGAGGGGGCGGGGTTAAACGTAATGAGGGGATACGTTTAGGGGGGTCTGATCTTATAGCGAGATCATGTCTGGTAAATATAAATTATCCCATTAAACAACCCCCCCCCCCCCCCCCCCCTTCAAGCCTACCTACCTCTCGCCCCTCACCCTCAAATAAAATTGTTGACAATAAAGTTGATAAGAGGCATTATATAATTAAGCTAACTAACCTCCGGGCTGATGTAGGAGGAAGTAGATACGTCTACAAACACACTTCCTAGCACTGTGTCAACAACCTGTTGAAGTTGAAATTGGGAGTGTCAACAGTTTCAACTTTCTTATTATTTGACTTGGTGGTGGTTCGTAGACTTGGTGGTTCGTAGCATAATATACATTATACACTATACCTTATACACTATACACTATACACTATACCTTAGCATAATATACATTATACACTATACCTTATACACTATACCTTAGCATAATATACACTATACCTTAGCATAATATACCTTAGCATAATATACATTATACACTATACACTATACACTATACACTATACATTATACACTATACACTATACACTATACACTATACACTATACACTATACACTATACACTTTACCTTAGCATAATATGCATTAGTAGAACACAATATTATCTAATATACATAATTACCCAGTGGAAATCGTGTACTTACATTTTCAACAAACTCATTAAAATCGCTAATTTCCCCACTAGACGACCTTGTTGATAACCTCATTAGAGGCTCCGTGTGAATTGCCTTGCTTCTTAGCCGGGGACTTGCTGAAGATAACACAATGTCAGACAAGGAAAACAGACTAAATAAATAAATCATTAGATAAAATCAAGTTTTTATCGTAAGCTCAATTGTTATCGTTAATATAAATAATTAATAATACATGGGAAACTGATAAAACGGACTGATGACTGATGTTATGTAGGGCATCATGATCTAGCGTATGGTTATATATAAGCTAGTGTTGAGCAATACCGAGCAGAAAAGGGATGGGTCAGATTAAACTTCTCAGCGGAAAATTGAGAGATTCTTAGTTGAACATGTTAATATTATAAATATAAACAAAATATATGTATAATATTCATTTAGGACCACCCTCATAGATATCACCAACAACAATTTCCATGACAGAATTAAATAATATGTTCATGTTAATTTACCGGGTGAAACTGGAGATAAACGTCCAGCAGCGAATCTGTCAGTAGGTATGTTGTGGTTGCATGCGGAGGGGCTGTCATCCACTTCAATCCTCAGCACAGGCGCGCTGGAATCAGGACAGGGTATGTTTTGTGTACTCGTCACGTGGCACGGTATGTTTTGTGGAGGGTTACTTCCTGAAGAGGAGGTGGAAGATGGGATTGTGTTTTTTAAGCTGTCATTTGAGTTTGTTGAGAAGGTCGTACCGGGGGAGCTGTGGTGTCTTGCTAAGTACTGAAATAATGGGAAGTTTGGTCAGTTTTACAGCAGGTAGTTTCGAAAGAAATTGGTTTTTGTAACAGTCAGATACATTTAAGTGCCAGGATATAATGCTTTATGTTTCACCTGTTTAGGTAGACATGGTTTTGGGAAAAGCTGAGGTTTGTACTTTTTGTTGCTTCCATCCGCACTATCAACACTGCAACTTCTTTTTGTTACTTTTGGTGATTCTGTTGGGACTGGGCTGTCTAAATTAGACTTCCAGAAGTTTCTAACTTTCTTTATATTCTGGGGAACACACATGCTTTGTATTTCCTGCATCTTTTCTTCCCTGAATCATGGTTACAGTATTTAGCCCTGTTAACATTTTGGTGTAAACTATTGTACATCATTACACCTTTAAATAATACTAATCTTAATTATAATTAAAATACTGACTTGAATAGAATTATCAAAATATTTTGGTAGAAAGAATTTAATCGTCAATTACCTGAGAGCATTGACTCTTGAACTGTGGCTTATTTGACCCATGACCCTCATCATACTTATTTTCTGTTGGGTCGGGTTGACGAGACATTCCTGGCTGGGTACCTCAGACCTGAACAGAGGATTTAATTAATTAATGGAGATTAAAATGTAAACTAATGAATTGAATTGTATTTTTGTATGATCGAGAATTTACAGTAAATCATCCTACTAAGTTCTTATCTTATTCTAACAACTAAGCAAAAAAGAATGCATTCATGTCTGAGTAAACTTTAAACACTGTATGATGGCTAATTGACAATAATTTATCAGAATTAAATAGATATTCCCATACAAATTAGACTTGCTAACCGTAAAGATGGCTCAGGGCAACTGTATCTTCTCTTAGAGCGCATACCTTCATGAAATGTTTCCACTGAGGATAAGTTAAATTGGATTCATTGATGATTCATTTAGACAGAAAATGTTTGAGTAAGCCTTTAGTGCAAAACTCAAAATAACTACATTCATGATTTTTGCATGCTTATATTATTTTTATACAGCTCAGGTAAATTAGAGAAAATCATCATCTTACTGTAACTACTACTAGTTTGAGGATCCATGCTACGCCGTCTTTTTCCAAGGGGCTCTTCTGATTTGGACATGGCGAATTTTCTGGGAAATAATTCAGTAAACAATGAAGAATCATGCAGATTTTAAATACTAATTGCAATCCTGTATAGTAAAAAAATTGAAAGATTGAAAACCGAAAAATAAAATCAAAATGCTTTTACTATTTGCTATATACATCAGGAGAAATATTCATATTGGCAGTAAAATACCGTTCAGTTAATGCAACGTAATTATAAAACCCCACAGATGATAATTGATATTGTATGTTAAATAATGGCGTTAGAAAAATATACTAAAATATTTCTCAGTATAGTATAACTTTCCTCTAAAACGTCTCTTATTTATGAACACATATTATAATATATAATATGTATAATATAATAGAAAGTCATTTTAAACACTTAAACAGATATACAGGGTGGGCCACAAGTCACTGGACATGCGTTGGCCTTAATAGCTCCGCCGTGTTTTATATTTGAGAGCTGTTGCTTTGCAGATAGCATACTCTACCTTCTAATTGGAGGATTCCGTCGTCAAAATTTAAAAATTCGAATATTTTAGACCACGCCCATTCAAAATTAAAACACCTATATTGTTCTCTCTGAACATGCTGGACGCCTGATTTTTTAGAGACGGTAGATTATCAAATATTGCAACTGATCTGAAAAAATGACGTCAAACGGATTAGAAACGACGAAGTTATCAAGCATTTTGTGTATCTCGTTAACAAAATTGACTGGGTGATTATGTGACACGACACATTAATTGGGCAGCCTTTACGATTCCCATCGGGGTGACCTTATCACGTGATCAGGTAAGCCAATCACCTGATCACACGTAATGAATAAACTCGTTATACTTCGTATCTTGGCCATCTGAGAAGCTACAACTCTAATTTTTTTTCAGGATAAAGGTAATTTGAATGGCCAAACACAATTCAATAAAATTTAGCTCGATCCGACTATCCAAACTATCAAATAAATGTAAAAATGAACCTTCATTTGAAACAAATGAACTCCAATATTTTTAGATTTGACAAATTCCTCGAACCAGTGGTGGAAGTAAGTCGTACCAGAAAGAATTATTTCGATTGGTCACTCAGTGACTGAGCTATTAAGGCCAACGTATGTCCAGTGACCTTTGGCCCACCCTGTATATAAAAATATTATCACAAATACCAATATATTAAAAATATACAAATACTTTAATAAAATTCTTGAAAACAGTGGTAGCCACGAATTCGGCCTTAAAGATAATATCGTTAAAGATTCTCTCTCTAACCTTGTCCACAACATTCCTTTAAGTGCATACTACATTGCACAACACCACTACGAAAAATTCCTTTTTAAGTTTATCAAGTGGTCCTTCTTTGTCCATTCTGAGGCATAGGTTGCTGGGGGACAAATAGGAGCGATACCTTAATCTTTGAAACCTGTGAACTTGCATAGATCTATACTCTAATGATGCTGAAAAGTGAAAATGCATTACTCTCTGCTGCATTTTACCTTCAGATCTGCAAGCTTTTTACCAAATACAACTTTCTCCAGTCATCCTCTTCAAAGCACTCAAAGCACTCACAATATGAGGGAAGAATTCGTGGTTACCTGCAAAACTGCCAAGGCATCCTGGCCAAAACTAAAATTCAATAATCAATCTCTATACTAGTGTGAGTTTGTCTGTGAGTCAACAGATTACCTTTAGCTGCAGCTGAGTAACTACATATATCACAATTGTGAGGTCTGTCTCCAGTATGAGTCGACATATGTACCTTCAAATTGATTGATTGGGTAGCTCTACAGTCACACAGACTACAGGGCCTGGGTAAGGTTTTTCTCCAGTGTGAGTCCTACGATTACTTTTAGTTTGAGCTGAGCACCTAAATTTACCACACTTGTGAGGTAATCTTTCTCCAGTATGAGTCGACATATGTACCTTCAAATTGATTGATCGGCTAGCTCTATAATCACACAAACTACAGGGGAAAGGTTTTTCTCCAGTGTGAGTTCGTTTGTGAGTCACCAGATTATATTTCTTTAGAGCTGAGTAACTACATTTATCACACTTGTGAGGTCTTTCTCCAGTATGAGTCAACATATGTCTCTTTAAATGACAATTTGCCCTAGCCCTATAATCACACAGACTACAGGGGAAAGGTTTTTCTCCAGTGTGAGTTCGTTTGTGAGTCCCAAGATTACTTTTATTTGGAGCTGAGTAACTACATTTATCACACTTGTGAGGTCTTTCTCCAGTATGAGTCAACATTATATGTCTCTTTAAATGGCTATTACTACTAGCCCTATAATCACACAAACTACAAGGGTAAGTATTCTTTAAATTGCGTCCAGACCCAGATGGAATAGTATTATCAATAGATTGAGAGTTAACCACATGGTTATGAGGGTTGGTCTTCTGTGACACCAGGGACAGGTTGACCATCACCATGGAATGAGCTGGAAAGATTGACTGATTTTTGACAAAGATCACAATATTGAAATGATTTACAGTCCACAGGTTCAGTTTTTATGACAGAACAACATGAATTCATATCTCCAAATTCCTTCACATCTTCTTTTGTAACAGGGCCAGTCTTGAAGGGCTCATTACTAAATTCAGGGCAGCCATCCTCCCATTTACATGTACAAGATGATGAGCTAGCAGCAAGTTGTTCAATCTCAGCCATCTCCATTTTTAGATTATCTCTGGTCAACTTTTTAAATTCTTGTTCTACCATTTCTGAAGTGAAAGCAACACTTGTATGTGTAGGGTGAGAATCCCTGCCACGTTTTTGGTCAGCTTCGCCGGGGCTCATGTCTTTCCTCGAGGGAGCATTAGTGTCTACAGAAAAACTGACAAATCCTAGCGAAGTCCAATCCGAACCACATCTTCCATCAGAGGTGGTGCAGGGTCAGCTGGTTACTGAACGGATTGGCCTGGAGAAAGGCATAGTCCTGTTATTCTCAAGTTAACCATAGAGGGGGTCAGGCGCTGTTCGCTCACGGCTGGTTCTTGGAGCCAACACCCTCAGCCCCACAGAAGTGGGAGCACTGTCTGTGGTGGCTCACCCAGATAACGGACGGTGTCTCTCCTTCTTTCTTCTTGGATTTGCATTGTTGCTGGTGAGTCAGCTGGCAACAGTGTACCATACTTCATAATCATGTTTTCTTCCCCACTTCTCCTACACCTCACTTTATTACTCACTCATTCACTCACATGCCGCCTTAGGGCCGCTACCAGTTAGAGGGGATCTAACAATCAGACAAACTGCCAGCCTTAGGGCCGCTACCAGTTAGAGGGGATCTAACAATCAGACAAACTGCCAGCTATTGGAGATATAGCACCTAGATTATTTCCAGCAAACGTAAAATTAGCAATAATTACGTGAACAAAGAAATTGCCAAATTGCGACAGCAAAAGGGTCTACTCAAAATGCAAATATCGGATGCAAATTCGTGAGTCAGCACTTTAGTATATAAGCGCGGAAATTGAGCCGCGCAAAGACAAAGAATTAATACAAAATAACAAAGGAGATGGGTATATTCCATCAGAGGCTCAGGCATGCCTGGTAGGTTCCTGCCAGCCCACTAGAATGACAGGGGGCAGCCTGTTCTATCGAGTACCCGGGAGAACATCTAGGCATGGGTGGTGTTCTCCCGTGAACAAGCATTATGACAGTTTCCCTTACGGGAAACGTCGCTCACCAGGCTTTATCCTCTGGAGGGGCGGGATCACTAGCCCATGCCAAGTGACCCAAACCTACTGACACCTACAACCAGAGGAACCCCAATAGACGTTAGTCACTTATGACGGACGTAGCCTCCCAATAGGGAGGTAAAGTGGGTGCCCCAACATTAAAAAAAAAAAAAAAACACTTGTATGTAAAACTTATAAATCTTGAATTTCCCAAGAGACAGTCAGATGAAACAAATTGGAAAATTCGTTAAGCTGATAGTATATCAAGATTAGATTTATATAGGACTTGAAGTTTAAAAAACAAATATTAACAAAAAACTGTTATGAAAATGTAATTAGGTGAGACAAAGTTAATAGCTGAGACTGAGCTAATAGTCGTGTGCGGCGCAGGCGGGTCTATTTACCTGTAAACTACAGGTTAGTAGAGCGCCTGCACATTCTATTTTCGAACGCTGATTCCGAATCACCCCACATGACATAGGTTTTTTTTAAATAAAACAAAAGTTAATTGTCTCGATCACGTGATATGACCATATAAGAAAGTTGGTATAATTTCTCATTAGGGTTAGGTTTCCAGCATATGATTCAGTTAGGGATTGGGTTAGGATTAGGGTTGAGATCAGATTAGAGGGTTAAGGTTTCGAATAGTCATTCAGGGCCACCTAGAGGAAAAACCATCATCATCCCTATTAGCTCGGACCAACCTAGTTACATCTTCATGACAGTAAGGTACGCGAATCAATTTTCTTTCGGCGACTGATTCGTTGATGGGCCGGCAAATATTTGTTGTCGAGTAGTGTTGAATACTCATATTAACATTGATTAACATTGATTAACGTTGATGTTAGCGGCTACAAGCTAGGCATAGGCAGCTGCAGAAAATATGCTGCGCGCGTTCAGCGTACGGCTTTTCGTTTTTGATTTTACAAATGACAAAGCAACTTTTAATGATTATTAATGGAATTATCGGATATTTATAATTCAATATGTATTGATTCTTCTGTGGACAATAAAAATTGTATTTTACTTAAAATTGTATTTTACTTAAAAGGCTACTAAATATTCAAAATAGAGCCCATCAAAACAAGTTAATTTTTTAATTGACTACGGGTAAACCGCCCCTAAAATGTCAGCCACCCCTAAAATGCCACTCTTGATTGATTGGATCCCAGCTTCTTAAAAAGTATCTTACCTAATCATTTGTAACTCCTAAACATAAAAAAATATCATTCGGACCCTGCCACATCCTGAAATTGAATCTAAATGATGCCATAAGGGCATTTTTTTCACTTTGTACGAATTTTTTACTTTTGAAAAAAAGCGCACAATTTTATAACTTTGGGATTCA